TTTGGACCGGATGGATTCTAAAGAGTCGGCTCAATATTTGTCCGAAGTATTTTTTGTTTTTATATTTTACTTGTCATATAGTTAGAAAAAAAAATGACGTACGATTCATGCAAAATATAGTTTTATTATTGAGAAAAAAAAATCGATTTTCTTTCGAAGTTCGAGATGAAACAAACATTATATCAAGAATCAGTACAAAAATCTGCACCGAAAAATATATTCAATACTTAAGACAAGTATTTGTTAAATTTCGGTTTTTAAACTTCTTCACTATTATTTTCGAATAATCTTACCTGTATGGTTCCCCTGAGGTCAAAATTTTACAAATACTTGCTTTAAGTATTGAATATATTATTTGATGCAGATTTTTGTAATGATTCTGAATATGAGGTAGTGTTTATGGCGTTTTAACATCATATAAAGAAATCGATTTTCTCTATAATGAAACAATATTTTTTTTTGAAAAATCGTACGTTATTTTTTGTGCCTGATTATGCGACCTAAAAAAACGTGAATAAATGTCTATTTTTTAACGTAAGTTTCGCTATAAAAAACGGCATTTTTTCATGTAATTTGACGTGCTCTATCTAGTTAAGGTGAAACAAATATCAGAGAAATATTTCAGTCTATCGAATTATTTTGTAATTAATAAAAAAGTTCAATAAAGTAAATTTTTTATTAAACATTATAACGTTATCAATGTTTTCAACATATCACACAAATTGACTCATTGTACAAATAAAAATTTTGAAACGAACAAAATTTCTTTCGTCAAAAATAATCTACAATATTTTCATTTTATTCACTGATTCACAGTATTTGAAATTATAAAAGTATTATTGATTCATATGTATTCTTATCTTTATATAGTATTACACAATAGCAATAAATTATATTTTCAATGATGATATCGTAAAAATTCACTTTTATTCATATTTAAAAATACTTTTATCCAAGATAAATTTCAAATATGAATAATTCAATTACTTGTTTAAGTAACTGTATGTATACTTTACAAATGTTGGCATGGCTTTTTTTTAACCGTAAAAAATGAAATCAACGAACAAGCAAACATATTTACAATCTCGTATTGTCTCTGTTGATTTATGCTATGATTTCTATGAAATTAGTTGTCCTACCTTCTTTTTTTTTTCGTTCTGATTTTTACAAGTAATTTTGTTGAAACAGACACATACGTCATCGCCTCGTTAATCATATGAAGAAAAGTAGCATTTCAGTACATTGCAAATTATTTGATGACGTTACCAATAGAGAATCATATATATATATAAACATTTGAATGTTCCGTTTTTCTTTTTCTTCTTTGATTAAGCAAAAATAAAGTATGTCAATATTAAATGAGTCGTGTAGTTTAAAAGATAATAATCTTCGTGGTAAGCGAAGAATTAATGAAACAAATCAAAAATTATCTATTAATATATTTCAAACAAATGATCAACAATATGGACAAACATCAACAGAACTAAATGCACAATTTTTTCATTCACAAATATTAATGGATATTCTTTTACGTATGACAAAAAAAATCGACGATAAAAATGATTTAATAGCTTTATGTAAAAAAGAATTAAATAATAATAAAGATGAATTGAATATTCTATATGAATTTACAGAAACATATTCATCAGATAAAGCTTTATGGTGGTATACACGAGAAACATTTATTTATCAATTTTTAAATCAAGCATTACGTTTACAAGATATTGATTTATTATTTTTATTTCGTTTTTTTATATATGATATACAAAAACAACTTGAATTAAATCAATGTCAAGAATCTATTCGTGTTTATCGAGGTCAATTAATGTCAAACAATGAATTAAATATATTAAAACATTCAATTGGACAATTTATTTCAACAAATTCATTTTTATCAACAAGTGTTGAGATGGAAGAAGCATTATCATTTCTTGATTATTCCATTATTCAAGATAATTTACAACCTGTATTAATTATAATTGATGCTAATCCTAATATAAAAGGCATTAAACCATTTGCGAATATTGCTAAACATAGTTATTTTACTGATGAACTTGAAGTACTTTTTACGTTAGGATCCGTATTTCAAATAAATAATGTTTCTTATAATAAAAATAATTGTCTTTGGATAATAAATATGATATTATGTAGTGATTATAATCATAAATTAAAACCAATATTTGATTATATGAAAAATGAATACGGTGATGGAGAAACTGGTCTTCTTTCATTTGGTCGTGTATTAAGACAAATGGGAAAATTTAATGAAGCAGAAAAATATTATCGAAAATTTCTTAATCAACAACAACAACATGATTATCAAAGTCAAGCACAATGTTATCATTTACTTGGAAATATTGCTTTAGATAAAGGTAATTATGATTTAAGTCTTGAATATCATTTAAAATCATTAGAAATTAAAATGGAACAATTAGAATCAAATGATCCTAGTCTTGCTTATAGTTATAATAGTATTGGTATAATTCATTGGAAGAAAGGAAATAAAGAACAAGCTATTGAATCTTACAATAAAGCATTACAAATTTGGGTTAAACTCTATGGTGAAGATGATTTAAAAGTTGCAATGTGTTTTAATAATATGGGTATTGTTTATGATGATGAAAAAAAATATCAGGATGCATTAAGATGTTATGAAAAAACTTTAATAATTCGTTTAAAACATCTTCCAAGTGGACATTTTGATATAGGCGATACATATAATAATATTGGTGCTGTTCATCGCTGTCTTGGTCACTATGATATTGCATTAGATTATTTTAATCGTTCATTAGAAATCTATGAAAAATCACTTTTTTTTCAACATCCATCAATTGCATCAACTTATAAAAATATTGGTATTACATACGAAATAAAAAAGAATTTCAATGAAGCATTAGAATTTTATAACAAAGCAGCAAATATTTTTCAACAAACATTACCAATAAAACATCCTGATGTTATTGAAATTGATCGACTAATTCGACATGTTTCTTCTCAAACTAATACATAATTATAATTTTATATTATTGATTTATAAGGCTCAATGTAAATAAATAATGTGTTTTCTATTTGTTGTTTGTAGAAATAAAAGATAAAAAAAAACTCACTTCAAACAATATCATATAGCAAATCTAATTCATTTCTATTTAGATATCAATATACATTTAATCAAATAAAATCTTTCAGAATCTAATCCAATATATTTTATCTAATATTTATAAAAGGTAGATTTCTATCTTGGTAGCGATTGTTTTCTTTTTATAAAACACAACCTAAGAGGAATGTTGAAGCATAAAGGTAGAAATTTGGATGTCACCCTCACAATAAACGTGATAGACATTATTCATATACGATTACAGACTGTATATCACTAACATCTCGTTATAATATATGAACGATTGAGTTATTGCATTTCTTGAAAATTAAGTAAAATGATGATGAAAAAATGTATCTCAAAATAGATAAAATAAAACAATCTTCATGTGATCAGCAACATCAACTAAATCGTGGTCAAGGGCATGTAATTATCAGAGTATGTTGGAGCTGCAGTTGAGAGGATAGGGTTAAATTTTCAGCTGTATGACATGATGTTTTCGCAAAATATTCACCAAACAAGGATTTTAAATAATTCATTTAGCAATCTAAAATTTGCTATGCACCTTCATTCTATATACTTAACTATTTCTTTTTTTGTTTGAAAGAAAATGTGTCAAGATGTAGGACATGACAGAGCTTTTCTTTTTAATTCTTACTTTTCAAGAAGAGAAAAGTTAAATATCTCAAAAACTTTTAAAAACCAGCACTCTAATCATAATGGTACTCTTTTATATAATAGTAATAAAATTTAATTTAAAAACGTAGTAACAATAATTCGAATTTCGTACAGTCATACGAGTGAAATTCGAAACATTTTTTAATATCATTGCTGCACGGGAGTTTATCTTTTCTATCATCGTAGCAAGTTTGATTCCACAACTCATTCTAAATTAAACATATTTGTATAAATATTGAAAAAATATTTTTGCTGAGTATCGCATATCCCATACATTGAAAATCGACAATCTAAGCAAAGATTTGTTTAATAACAAAAGGTTACTTGCCATTCATTATTTGTTCATGTATACTCCCAGTATTCAGTGGTCATATTTCATTATATACTATAATTTTCGAATGGATTTGCCAATATAAAGTAAAATTTTTATACATTTGAAATGTAAGTAGTGTTTTCTATTTGCTGAGTTGGAATTTGACTTCTAATACTTCGAATAATTATTTTGTGTTATTCACATCTCGAATCATCATCAATATATAATTATTAATCTATACTCGGACGATTTCATATGGGATAGTGTTCAAATTCACATATATTGAATATAACCGAGTATGATATGAATGATAGTAAATTGATCGAAAGAAAAAATAGCAAACCGAAAAAATGTCGTAAATAAATTTCTGTTCTCTCAACAGCAGGGTTGCTTAGTGTCGGTCGGATTGGTTTCGAATGCACAAGTTTTGGATCCAACGATCTCTAAGTAGTTCAGAGTTTAGCAGCTAATTAGAATTTGAATATTACAAGATCATCATCAATATTGCCTGAAAAATGTATAAGGTTTGCTGATCATCAATACAAATAACCGGAAAAAATTATCTGATATTTACGAAGTAACTGTCAGATTCAAATACAAAAGCAAGGGCGGATGTAGATGGCACGGTGTTGGTGTCGGGAATAACATACATAGATTTTAAAGATGAAGTTCAAAAAATAACTTATCTCATTCGAATTTACCATATAATTGATGACAATATTCATTTCATGAATACGTCAAATCGGTTTTGCGATTCAGTAATCGCATGAGTTTCTCAAATATATACCGTAATAATTTTATTAGGAAAAGAAGATTACACAGAGAGAGGAATAATTGTTCAAAAATTCTATCTAATAAGTCATAAAATACTTTTGAAACGAGTCTTGATAATGGCACAAGTGAAATTATTGAAAATTAGTCTTCGTCATCTTTTGTGATCACTGGAATCGTTGGAAACAATCCAATGCAATTATCCGAGATACTCGAATTGAATTTTGAATAATCAATCCTCAATCCAGCGATTGAATCATAGTAAAGAATTGGTTCAAAATTTGCTCCCCACACGATATCTTGTGCTGAGTAAGACGTTCTTGTTTGTGTTAGTAGTCCTGTTGATTCAATTATACCTTCGAAGACAACCAACACTTCGAATTCCGCTCTTGCAAAAGCTTTTTTATCCATTAACCAAAGTGGACTTTTGGGATCGATACGATGTTCGATAGTCACAGGCCAGACAAGTAAGAGACGATCGTGACCAGTATCGAAGCCAACATTCATATCGACTAAATTCAAAGGAAGAACTTCGTTTACGTGAGTGTTACGTTTAGAAATGAAATACATTCGAACATGAGCTTCTAGTAAAGTGGAGTGAGGTCGAACATCGCCAAGACGAACTTGAAGAGTCAAATGATTGTTTCGAAGACCAATGAGAGCTTGGTGAGACCACATCAATGTATGACGACGCCTCTTTGGACGAGCCAATTTCGTATAGATAATACCCATCCAGAGCGATTGAATGATGAGACCAAACCACGTTTGAACCATCAGAGTAATAACACCACTTGTACATTGTTGAGTTACAGATCGAGTCCCATATCCAATCGTCTGTTGAGTCTCTATCGAGAAAAGTATACATCCTACGAATGTTGTTACTCCAGCTACGCATGGTGTTCGACCACTCGGTTCAAAGTCACCATGAACTTTCATTATTATGAACCAAACAGCGGCGAATAGTAACCAAGAGGCAACAAATGTCAATGTTAAAAATAGAAAAATCCAACGCCAATTAAAATCTAACAGTGTTGTAAAATAATCATTTAAATATCGACAACAACGCCGTTTAACAGTGATCCTTCTATTGAAAACGATCAGTTCAAAATAGATGTAATTTTTATCTACCTGTTAACATTGAGTTTCCCATCTTTTGTAAATAGTCGCGGTTGAGCCACTTAATTTAATACAACAAAGTCAGAACGGAAAAATAGTTTTCATTCTTACCTGTTACTTTCATCGTATGTCTACTCTAAAAACACGAATAAACTGTTTTCGTAATATTGAGACGAAAGCGAGACTAATGGCGTGATGATCGATGACGAATGAACGTCTGAGCTCAATATAATTTAAATGAAAACAACTTTGATCTAAAACAATTGACAATTGATATTCTACTTCGTGATTTTTCACTTCTCTGATTCTTTACTGTCTTCAATACAAATGATAGTCACAGTTCAGTTTTCATTCCATCCTATTTCGATACTCATCAATAAAGGAAAAACAACTATTATTCACAATATCGAATTTCACATTCTTTGTCATAGATCAATCGTTTCAAGAGGCTGACTATTAACATTGATCGGTCAAATTTCATTAAAGGTTATTCAAATAACAGCAGTCTGTCTTTGCGCCAGATATCGATTACGTCAACAGTCATTAAATCCGCTTGGATATTTTCATCGCTCACTCATCAGGCTCGCAAGTTCTCAGATGTCCAAATTGTAATCTAACGTCGTAACCATAAAAGTGTGAGTGATAGGGCAACACTCAATCTGGTTCATGGGTGATATTACGTCACTATTACAATGAAGGGAAAAAAAATGACGTTCCAAATTGTTTTTTTCTCTGGTAAATGTGAACTTCATGATGTTAACTGTAGATAAGGAAAATTTCAAAACTATTCATTCGACTCAAAGATCGGCAAATCTAACTGAAAATCTCAAAAACAAAACAACAAATGTATTTTATCGAGTAACGCGATTTCAAAAGAGACGTTGTGTATTTTTGTGTAAGGTAATGAAACTAATTTCATTACTCAAAAATATTTCTATAATGCAAGTAGAAAGTTCTGTATAGAATTGCTACATGCTTTAGGTTTTATTCGTTAATAGTGAGTGTTTTTCTAAGTTTATGGACAAAAACGAAAACGACAAACTACATTCTCATTATGGAAATCATTATATGACTTTTCATTAGTTCATTCTAAAGGAAATCTGATAAAATTTTAGATTTCAAAATTTCTTTATTTAGAAATAGACTACTTTAAATCTCTCTATCTTCCAGTATTCGTGACAATAACTCCTACGAAATAAGACCTTTTTCGAAAAGTGCAACTCGATTTGTCTTTACGAAAAAGATCTTCTTTAAAAGAAAAACATAATCTATCACATAACGTACATACTGAGATACAGATTCGATCATCATAAACTATTCTGTTCTGATGGAACATAATAAAAAAAAACCAGTTGTTGTTTCCAACCATTGTGCACGATGGTTGTTTATGGTCGTGTGGAGTTTAACAAGAAGCGATAAGACCACTTTATGACATTTAACAGATTATTTTACAGCAGTATACGATGAAATTCGACCATAAATCAATCAGAAAACAGCCAGATATCATGGATGTTAATTTTCAAACCTGAAAAGTTTAACTTGAAGTTTCAAGTTTCAATATTCAACTTTCAAGTCTCAAATAAACGCAGTCACCCTCTTGATACGGGTGCCGCAGAAGTACATACACATCGCACGTCAGCCGATGTTACTGCCGCAGAAACAAAGACAATAGAAATTTAAAACTCGAAACTTGAATAGTGGTTGTTCAATTAAATTCAACTTTCAAATTTGACACTACTGCTAGATAGATGACAGTTCGAGTTTGTAGGTTTTAACAAAAGCAAAACTATAAAAAAAAAAAAATCTTACAAAATACGCTATGTTGTATATATTTGAGAGTTGTTTTCATAGTTACCATTTAGATCACAATCTGCTTATGGCAAGAAAATGTGATCTTGACACTCTCAACGGTTTTTATGCAATGAATACTGGCAGCCTCAAGTATAGAGAATTTTGTGATTTACACGACGAATAATTACGATGCTTTGTTCGAAAGGTGACATACAAAAAAAGGAAAAAGGTAATGGGTGATGTAGATTCAATTGCCGTTTTTAATCAACTACATTCGAATCAATTATTTACTGTAAATTTTCAGGACAGAATGTAGCATTGAATAGAACAAATCAAGCTGCATAAATTCATATAGAAAAATAATATTAACTAAGTTTTTTTTATGTCCATAAATTTTTAGAAAAACATGACATGCATAAAAACTGGCATAATTTGTCAGTTTATTTTTGTACACGTTGTATATCTCTTGTAATTTCTTGTTGTGAAAGACTACTATCTGGCAATATATAATTGATATAAACATATTAAGTAATTATATATGTAATGCTATTCTTTAACTGGCTGAAAATTCAAAAAAGATCGAATATCACAACAAGAAATTAAACGATATGTAAGACTTATCTAATAATTATATAAACGAACAGGAGTAGTTTTTGAGCATGTCAGATGAATTTTTTAAAGCTTCATTTACTCTATTCAATGCTATATTTTGTTACAAAAACAATAAAATTAAACAATTGATCTTAATATAGTTGATGAAGACTGATAATTTAATCTACTTCATCCGTTAGTTTATTATAAAAAAAAAATAATTAATCAATAATTTAAAAATTATCGATAGATTAAAATAAATAGATTTATAATATTTTTCATGTTTCATATACAAGTATTTGTTAACTTATCTATAAGTTTTAATTCGATTTGATTCGAAAAACACACATACCTACAGATTCCATCTCTATTATATACTATAGTTTTTAATTGATTTGTTAATTTAAAGGTAGATAACTATCCATGAGTGCTAATTAATTTATATTAATAAATTTAACATTCTGACTTGAATCATATGTGGTTGGTTTTGTAAAATTTTATACATTTGAAATGTAAGTAATGTCTTCTATTTACTGAGTTGGGATTCGACTATCATCAATCACTTGACTTCTAATACTTTGAATAATTATTTTGTGTTATTCACATCTCGAATCATCATCAATGTACAATTATTAATCTATACTTGAACGATTTCATTCAGAAGTTGTATTGAATGACGAAATACTCTTTATCAAAAACAGTCACTCTACAGTCATTAATACAGAGTGTCCCATAAGTTGTGGCAGATTTTTTTAAATCTAATTTTTGTTGATAATGAATACAAATTAAACTCAAACTTACACATATGATACGGCTTAACATGTACTTTTATTTCATATATTTTATTTGGATTAGATCATTGAATATACAAGAAAATAAACAAATTCAATGAACATACCCTCAATTGACAAATATCAAGTCTGCATTTTTTCGCTACTTTGTTAGTTTTTTCTCCAATTACTATTCCTATGGGAGTAAGTTTTTACAAAAGAAATCACACATTCTGATAGCACTTGAAATTCTCTATGATATTATGTATTAATACAGTGTCTTAAATTTAAGTAGCGAAAAAAAATGCAAATTTCTTGGGCTAGTCGATTCGGAGTATATTCATTGTATTCAATTTTATTTCAATCTATGAATGCAAGAAAATAAGTAAATAGACAGAGTGATAGAGAATTTTAAGCTCTATCAGAATCTATAGTTACTTTCTCAAAAAGATCATTCTATATGGATGAAAAATTTTTAAAACTAGTTTTGATGACGAAGAAAAGATCAAGTCTGGGAATCTGGACATGAGGATGCCTTCGTTGTCTTCAATTTATTTTGGTAATGAAAAGGTCAAAACTAAAACCTAATTCTAGAGTGATAGAAAACTCCGCGGGCTTTCAGAATATGTAATTAGTTTCAAAATAACTTATTTTTAGTGACAATATATGAGAAATACAGAGTGAAACTTTTTTGTCGGGGTATATATATTGTAACACATTGATGATGTGCTTATTCTGCACATGTACCAATTTCTTTATTTTTTTGTATATCCAATGATTTAATCCAAATAAAATATATGAAATAAAAGTACATGTTAAGTTGTATGATACGTGCAAGTTTGAGTTTGATTTGTATTTATTATCATCAAAAATTAGATTTAAAAAAATCTGCCACAACTTATGGGACACCCTGTATAATATAAAGTCTATGTCATTTTAAAATGATTTGATTGTAGAATATGATAAGATTGTATAAAGTTTCCTTTTTGTTATTGTAAATGAAAAAATCGAAACAAATATTGATTAAAGTTTCCTTCTATTGTTTAATAAATAAATACGCACAAATAATACAAACCTAAAATATGTTATTGGAATGAGCACCTTAAGCGGACAATAATATTTATCATGAAAAGAAAAGCAAAAAAAGCGAGATTATCATTAGAGACGATTGTTAGAAAAATAGAGCGAGTAAAAGATCTGTTTGTTGGCTTATTCTCATATTTGTTGTTTTCTATAAATGGACGGCGTTAATACAAGCAAAATTGTCCTAAAAAATGAAGTTATCATTCTATAGTCGACAGAGACAAAAAATAATTGGTATAACAGCAGCTAATGCTATTAATAATGGCATTAATGAACTTGATTGATCCTCAGTGTATGGATCAATAACTTTTGGTCCACTGGTTTTGACATTACGTTTTACTTTGGTTGGTGTAGCAGGTACTTCATCATCTTGTTCTACGTCTAATGGTTCATCAGGTAATTCCATTTCAGGCATTGATGGTAATTTAGGAATTTCTAAAATTAACAAAAAAGAAAATGAATTATAAAAACGAAAAAATTTCTTTTTCTCTCATAGAAACATACGATCAATTGAACCTCGCCAAATAATAAGTGCATTAAGTTTCGGATTATCTCGATGATCAATACGTTGAAAAGTAATTTTTAATTTTCCTGAATAAGATGAACTACGACCATTAATAACAAGACGACCATTTTTTATTTGAAATGGAATATATTCATCATGTGCTGTTGCACGACCAGCTTTATCAAATATATCTAATTCATCAATTATTGAATGTTCATCATTAAGAACAATTTGAAATACCTAATAGAATACAAAAACATTTATTATATTAAGTAATTCAATATAAATATGTCAACCTTCATATTTGGTCCATTAAACCAAACTTCAGCAAATTTCATCCAAATGACATAATCACCATCATCAATTAGATCAATTTCATATGAAAATTTTTGTAAATCATAACGTTCAGTTTGATAAAGTATCATATCGTCTCTTGGTACTCGATTTATATTTAAATTACGTCCATAATCGGAGCTTATACCTGCTTTTAAATAATCTTTACGATATTTTATTCCTTAAAAAGAAAATCAATTAATTATAATTAAATCTATTTTCTTTATACCATTAGTATCTGTATGTGTTTCTCCACCACAATTAACAGCAAAAACAACATTATCCATAATACTAGCTGCATTATATTGTTGAATTATCCAGGTCAAACAAATGTATAACCATAAAAATGTCATTTTAATAATAGTGCTTAGCAATATTTAACAAATGAATGATTCTTAAAAAAGCACAAATAAAAATGTTGCATTATATTAATGGTTCCTTTGCATAACCAATAAAAAGTCTAACAGAAACATTCGGATGTCGCTTTCATAAAAGTACATATTATAGTTTTTCTTTGAAGTGTTGTTAATAGTAACGCACAATTTATGGTTGCTTAAGAAAAACGTTCTTTTTTTTTCTCGAGGAAATTCAAGTAAAAGAACTCTCAACAGAAGAACGACAATAAACGAGAGAAAAAAAAATAAGATGACACGTAAAATATTTTTTAAGCATCACGCTCAAGATTCGACGAAGCAATTTAAATTTCTTCATATTTCCTCGGAAAAAAAATATTATTTAACGAAATCTTATCATCAAAATTTCGTATTTTATTTTTAGAAAATTTGAACTTGAAATATGTCTGACGTACACTCGTCTTCCAAACGAGCTCAAGATATATTAGATGGCTTTAAATTACATTGGATGAATTTACGAGATGCTGATTCAGGTCGAGTTCTTTGGCAATCATCAGAAAATTTGTATATTTATTTTATCATTTTTTTTCTTAAAATAGATATTCTTATTAATATTCTTTTATTTAATTGATATAGATCAACACCTGGTGTTGAACATGAAGCACGTGTACCAAAACGTATTCTTAAATGTCGAGCAGTTTCACGTGAAATTAATTTTTCATCACAAGAAGAAATGCAACAATTTCGTTTAGAACAACGTGTCTTTTTTAAAGGCACAGTCATTGAAGGTAAAATAAATATTCGTAATCTTTCGAATTAACTAAGGAAAACAAATTTTATAAATATTTTTAATAAACATTCTTATTATAGAATTTTAAAAATTTTCATTTTTAGTCGGAGATACACTAGTTTGTAGAGCTCGACGAGGAGAGATGTGTAGAAGAGAAAAAAGTACGATAGTACAAGGTGTTGAACTTGCTTTTTTTTTTCATTTTACGATCTTTTCTTAATAAAAAATACGATTTGGACCGGAAAAAAAGACGAAAAGTGCGCACTCTATACTTTTTCCTCCTATGGCAACATTTCTGTCAATGAGATATATATAATAATAAAGTTCTTTGAAAAGTTAACGCCACTCAACATTGACAAAATATCCTGTATGACATTCATTTGAACATTTTGATTTTATTATAGTTACTAGCTAGTATTCAGAGTTTTAATATAAGATCTTCATTAATTAGCTGACTACAGGCACATATCCAACTATTATGAGAGTTGACTGTATTTCAATAACACTTATACTGCATGTGTAGACAGTTCAAATGCTTCCTATTAAGTCCATTAAGGATTCTTTTGATGAAGTGTAGAAAGTCTTCATAGTTGTCTCACAACAAAAGTTTAACCAAGTTGACTCTTCGTCAATCTGTCCTTGGTTCATGAAAAACTATAAACCTCTTGAGCTTGTCCGACTTTTCTGTCTATTTGTTCAATTCAATCTGCTTGGACTACTTGTCGCGGTTTGTGTATTCTAATGATATTTGAATGGAAGCAGAAAAGTGTCATGAGAATAATGTAAGGAAGTCGTGTCAATCGAAATAAAATGATTAGACGAAACATTTATTCGTACAAAAGAAAATAAATACGAAATTTTCATATTTAAAAACTGGTTGGTTAGGTATGATTAAGAATTGTTATTTTTTTTGTTTGTTTCTTAATTATAAATAACGAATTAATGAAAGAAAACATAACAAGGTCATATATTTTATGATCACATAACTATAAGTCAAAGCATAATAAAAATTAAAAAACAATTTTATTAAATAATTAAACAAATAAATGATTAATGAAAAATCTAATCATGATTATATTAAAAGAAGACGAGAAAATTTTATTTCATATCTACCAGTTACACAAAAGATATTCCACTGTGTCTTTGGGTAATTACATGTCAATTTAAAAAATTACAAACAAGCGCAATGATCTATTTGAATCTCTGATTGACAAAAACAAAACATGATTACTACTTTAATCATAATTGAACATTTGAATGTAAATACTCAAGTGTAATCATCTTTTTCGAAATTTCTGAACGTTGGAACTTAAATAGTATAAACATTGTAATTTAACAATCAATTCCTTCAACCGAGTTTTATTACACCTGAGATAGTTTGGTAATTAAAAAACAGTTCACTAAGTTGCAAACATTGATATATATTCAATCGAAAATGAAGACATAGGATTGAGAATTTTTTCTTCAATAAAATTCTTCTTATAGTAAAGGATATTTTTAATCGATCTTATGAAATTCAAGGTTGTATAAATAAGCTTATGCACTTGAGATTTTGTATTTAAAATGACAATTGAATTGATTTTTTGATCATTTGTAAAAAATAACATTAGGATTAAACGAAATCAATCAATTATTCTCACTAAATCATTTTGATCTACATTCAATTATATACTGTTCATTAGCAAAGAATGTTTTGCTTTTAAAATTTAGAATGGTCATTTGCATTCGGTTTTGTAATACCTGGCTCAACAAATACTTGGCAATCACTAATTGAAGCAGCACCAGAAAGTCAAATGATACCGGCGAATTTGTTAAAGTAAAAAGAACAAAAATTATATTTTAAATTTAATTGTAAAACAAAATTTCTATTCTCTTTAGTGGAAATGTAGTTATTGAAACGAAATTTTTCGATGGTGATCTTGAAGTATCGACATCTCGTGTTCGTTTACTCTATGTATAAAAATTTTCATCAATGTCAAACATATTTCTTCTTAATTTAATTCTCAAAAATACATTTCACATTCTGTTTGTTAGTAGTGAGATATGTATTCAGTTTTTGTTTTTCTAAAATTTAATGTTATTGTAACGTGATTTAAACAAAAAATCCTTATGTCAGTGAGTTATGTTTACATTATATGTCGTTGTAATTATATATATATATATCTCCTTGATTGTGTGAATGTGTGCAAAAAAAAAACAAACAGAAAACTTTTTAAACCTGATGAGAATATTATGAAAAAAAAGCAAAAAATCGAGCTAAAGTTTTTCTTTCTTTGTTGTTTTGTTGCTATTTTTTTTTTCCTTTTTTTTTGTTGTGTGAACGTTTGCTTTTGTTGTTGTGAATATATGTATGTATTTTAGATATAATGAAAGTGTTATATTCCGTGTCTTGAAAAGAAAAGTGAGAATTTAAGAATATTTCTTATATAAAAAATTTGAAGGAAAATATATAGGAATAAATTCATTTAATTCATCAAGATTAATATGAAAACGATTTGAGATGTTTAAAAACTTGTCATATTGTTTGAGTTTATAAAAGTAATAAATGCTTTGTTTTGTTTTGTAAGTTATGTAGTAGAAATTAAGATGAATACAAAATTTTTCAAATGAATTTGATTAACATAGGACACAAAATTTCTTTTTGATAATAATAATTCTCGTTTAGAACTATTTAAATTTTATTTATTCACATAAATTAGTGTTATCTCATATTATTATTTTCTATAAATTGAAGAAAAATAAGATAACAATAAGTTAAAAGATAAAAACTTCAGATAAAGTCAGTACTTATGAAATATTTTACACTGGAATACCATATTCACCAGTTGTTTAAGATCGTTCAGTTATAATTTGAGTAATGTGCAGTTTGGTCTAATCTTGATTGTTTCTATATGATTTAAATTTATTGATGAATCTAGTTCATGAGTCGAAATAAATTAATGAATATGAGTTAGAAATTTAATCTGTATCTTTTGATAGCACTAAATTATCTCACAAAAAGTCATAGTTTTGACAAACGAGTCTTTGATATTGAAATGAATATTTGACTTTTTCACTACAATTCAGAACAAAATTTAGACTTTGTAGATTTCTCTATAAAATAATGCTGAGAATATTTCTATTATAATTAATTCCTATGAATCCTAATAAAATGGTATAAAATAGTCTAGTTATCGTCACTTTCATTGTTGAAGATACGAGTACATTTCAAGTAAAGCAACTAAAATGATTATTTATTTTTTTCGTAGAGACTAAGGATTTCAATGGTGACGTTCAATCTTATTTCCTTGTTAATATGTGTGAAAAATTTCATTAGATGATTGGTTTTGTCTATTAGAATTAGATTTTATTATAAATACAAAAAAAAAAAAACATCAGTCTTTTCGACATTATTCAATAATTTCATACTAAAGTGAATAATGTGAAAAATTCACGAATAAAAAAAAAAGAATATTTATAGTCAGTAGGAAATATTATTAATTTTATAATGAGAAAAAAAAAATCAGAAAGATTTCTATGTTGATTGCATAGTACTATCTCGAAATAATCTTCTTCTTTCATAAATTATCAATATGATAGAGAAAATTCAATAAAAAATATAATCAATTTTTTAGTTATTATTATTTCATTATATAGACAAAAGATAAAATAAATCTTATTTTTATAATAATTTCAAAAAAATTAATTTTTCTTTTTCATAAATGTACAGTGAGGAAAACAAACAAACATTAAATTATAAATCTATTCTTAATTTTTTTATTCGAGTTAATTATACTTCATTTGATGATGTTGTTAGAAATGTTGACGGTAATGTAAATGAGGTTTTTTTATTTTGTCGACTTGTTCTCAAACTATTTTGACGTTGATTATGATTATGATGATGATGATGATGATGACGTTTTCGTTGATTTTTCCATATTTCAGGAAATGCATATATACTTAAAAATGATGAAAAACAACAAGGAACATAAGTAAATGCATTAGCTATTTGTATACACCATGATAAATTAATTGTTGGCCAAAAAACATATAAAGAATTAACATTTGTTAATACATATGGTAAAAGACCAATTAAATAAATAAATGAAAATAATATCATTTGACGTGTTAAACGTTTACAACGACGCCATCTCTTTGAATTTGAACGAAATAAACTAAGACGTAAACGAATTATACGAATTAATAAAAAGAATGTTGCAATTATTGTTATTAATAATGGAATTAATAAACTTAATAAAGTATCAATTAAAAATATAAGTTTATCTTGTTCAAAACATGGACGACATTCATATTTTTTTCTAATAGTCTTATCATATGAACATGTTAATATAAGAATTGAATACCATGTTAATGGAAAACCTAATGCAAACATACTTGGTATAAGTTTAAATTTATATGTTGATTGAAGTTTTTTAATATTCATTGGACCAAATATAAGTATATGACGTTGTATAGATGCCCAGCATACAAAAAGACCAAGACAAACAATTGATGAATAATCAATAATTAACCATAATTTACATATAATTAAAGATAATGGAAAATATAAATTAAAATATAATTCAATTAAAAAAAATGGTATACATGTACATGTTGTTAATAAACTAACATGTAATATACAACGAAATACAAAAACACTTAATTTTTTATTTCCATGAAGACGATATATAGCAAATAAATTAATCAATACACTTGGAATACTTACACATATAATTATAATAAAAAGAATTTTATTGAAAATCAAATTTAAATTATCATCAAAACTTATTTCTGTTGAATTTTCAACATCCATCGAGACAAAAAAAAGCACAAAGGCCAAAGTACTTTTATAAAATATCCTAATTATGTTGTGTTTCACGTTTTTTTTTATTCACATAAATTTTCTCTTCAAAGAAACTCGTAGACAGTCTGTTTTCTTTTTTTTCTTCTATATATTATATATTTTCATTTCGCACGTCATCTCATATTCCTTGTCAATATTTTAACTACAAGAAAAATATCTGAATAGTAAATAAACAACAGAATGTTTCTAGCTCAATTGTTGAATATAATGAAATATTTATAAATGATGAATATTTTTAGCATAAGAAAATATTGGTTTAAACTTAATTTATAGGCTCTACTCAAAATTAAGAATGACTGGGTGAAATTATGATTACTTTGTCTTATGTAATCATTTATTAAGTATATATTGATCGAAATAATGTTCAGATATGATGTTACTATAATTACTATGAGTATTTTATTTGGAAATATTTTTGTTTCTTTTGTATACAAAATATTTACTTCGGTAATAATTATTCCTTTGCTTTTGTTAAGTTTAATTGTCAATGGTCTTTTAGTAGACTTAGAAAAATGTTCTTGTTTTTATCTCAGTAAATAAGATATTTGATTGATACAATTTATTTGTCTGACTTGTTTTAATTTACTCTGCGAACTTATCAATGATTGGAATTATTTTAATAGAAAATCGTATTAATTTCTTTCATTTTTTTCTTGATACAATATAGAATAAATAAAATAACATGAACAAAATTTGAAAGTCAATCGAGATTTTAACTTTGTTAACGACCTAATGGATAATAAAGACTATTGAAATGTGATTTAAATTATTGAATAAAATAAATTATGAAAAAACATTTAAGTTATTTTATTTGAGACTTTCGATAGATTTGAATTCGTTATTTTTCAAGATTTTATTTTATCGATTAATTATTCGAAATTCTTTTTCCTCTTCGAATTCATTCATGAAACTTTTTGACTAAAAATAAACAACAACTATTTGTATCTTCAGATAACAATGTGCATGAATTTAGGATTTTACTCAATTTATATTTATATCTCTGGTTAATTTATCAACGTTTAAGATATACTAAACATGATAAAGGATCCTGCTGGATTTGGCAACTTCTCTGAATCAAGATACCAAATATATGGTTCTGTAGAGCTCATTGTGACGCATCGAATAGTATATAAGGAATCTAAATTTTCGTGTGGTTAGGATCGATATTCGAGCTGTAGCCCTTAGGAAATATATATGAAAGTCATTGACCTTGTGGTCTGTGAAAGTTTGTAGAACGAACTGATACAAATTTCGTTTTAAACTCGATTTGATACAGTCATAGGTGCTCTTTAATTTTTATAATCAACTGTGTTCTTCGTTGCTTTTCTCCTGCTTAAAAATGATCAAATGCTATAGGCCTAGACTATTTTGTGACTTTTTCACATTTCTGTCTGATTTATGTTATCTTGCAGAACAAGTGAGTAACAACATGAAACTTCCTCAGAAATTGCATACTATTGAGCTCTATTTGTTGCACGAATTAAATTCTTGATACTAACTATTCCAAACAAATTGACACAAATAGTTCTTTCAAAAACCAGAAAAAAATTTTCGTCCCAAAAACTCCTGAAGATATATTAGACTTAGTTCATGCAAGCCATGACAACACTTATTCAATCGAGGTCGTCAGATTTTTCTCAGTTTAGGATATGTTGTAGAGGAAAGAGTTTTAAGAAATTTGACGCAAGTCGTTGGAAAAAATATGTCTTCGTTCTCGAGATATGGCTTTCGTGAACTGGGTCTAATATCTGCGGACTCCCTTCCACGAGTTTCGGGGTGAAAAATTTTTTCTCGCTTTTTGAAAGAACTATTTGTGCCAATTTGTTTGGGATATTGTGCTGATTATTTCAGCATAAAAATTTTTAATAGAACGATTTACTATTGGTACAATATGGTCAATATACTGACTCTATTATATAGAAAAATACGCCATTGTAGCAGACAATCTTATAACCTGACGATGAGTCCCTGTTGGTACCAAGAATTTAATTCGTGCCATAAATAGAGCTCAATAGTATGCAATTTCTGAGAAATTTTCACGTTGTTACTCACTGGCTCTGCAAGATAACATAGAGCAGACAGAAATGTGAAAAAGCCACAAAATAGTCTAGGCCTATAGCACATGATCATTTTTAAGCACGAGGAAAGCAACGAAGAACACAGTTGATTATTAAAATTAAAGAGCACCTATGACTGTATCAAATTGAGTTTAAAACGAAATTTGTATCAGTTCGTTCTACAAACTTTCACAGACCACAAGGTCAATGACTTTCATATATATTTCCTAAGGGCTACAGCTCGAATATCGACCCTATCTACACGAAAATTTAGACTTCTTATATACCATTTGATGCGCCGCAATGAGCTCTAATGAACCATATATTTGGTATCTTGATTCAGAGAAGTTGCGAAATCCGACAGAGTCCTTTATTACAATTTCTATTTAAATTATCAAACGACATTTACATTTTGTTCTGTTTTTTTTTCTTCTTCTAAACGTTGATCGATCGTGAATATCGAGAAGCGATCTGAAGGTTGATTCAGTTCTAGATGAAGCGTAACATTTGTATGAAAAACGAGAAATAACATTCTTATGAATCATCATGTTTAATTAAGAAAAATAAAATAAAAATTTAAAACTACTAATGAAATTAAGAATGAGTATAACAATAAAATATATTAAAGTACACAAAAATCAAGTTTTTCATAATCTAAAAAATAGAAATATATAATGCTCTTATTATTTTTTTCATTTAATGAGAAATATAAATACCAAATTAACAGTATGTACATAACACTATTTTATCATTGAACGAGTTTACATCGCAAATATTATCTTTCATTCATTTATTGCTACATACTGGTTTTAAGACTAAATGGAAATTTCTTCATCAAAGTATACGACGTATCTACTATTTTTCTGATCAACATATCAAACAGCATATGATCTGTTTATTTTACTTTTGCTTCATACACATACTATTGAAAGAATTAATTATAATTAGGTTTTTCGATTAAAAATAATATTATATATAGATTTTTTTGTTTTGAAGTAAAATGTGATTAGAATAGCATAATCATCAAATAAAACAGACAGATTATGAGAAAAGATGTGGCAGAACCAAATATTTTTAGTTTCAGTCTCGGTAACTTCTTCTTCAGTAGACCCGTTGTTTCAATCTAGAAAAAGCACTGCCAAAATGTATCTATATTACATCGATTTGTCTTTCAATTTTATGATAAAAAAATTCCTAGAAAGTTAAAGTTATCAATAATGTCTTATGTAGCTGATGATGACCCTACTCAATTATTAAATCATTAAAGGTCGAAATTTCTATTGTAGAAGATTAAATTAAATTGTAAAATTTCTTATATTGAAAACCTATAACTTTATGTACCGAATACATTTCTCAAATATTTTAACCAGTATATACACTCTCAATATATAAAACTTTGAGAAAAACTTAATTTCTTACTCACTGAAAGTCTCTCATGTCTGTTACTCGTGATGACTGAGTAGAAATTTAAGTTTGAAACACACTTTCTTTATGCAACTCGATGAGCTCTATCCAATCAGTATGAAATAAGAAAAGAAAATAATGTTAAAATTTTGACTTGTGAATATCTTACATATACTGTAAATATCTAAATATTGTCATATATCCTGAATTATGCATTGATTGTTATCATTTATAAGTTAATTTAATTATAAAATTTCGTTCCGATTTAGACAACTTTTTTTTTCTCTGACAATGAAAATGATTATGCAAGACATATTCAAATCAAATTAAATTTTTTACTAACAAACTAACAAATGTAAAATATAGAATAGCAGATTGAGATATTCGAATTTAAGAGTATGTAAAATGTATGTAACGTACTCAAAAATCGAACTTTCATCAGAATATGTTCTTTTTTCGGCATATTTGGATAGAGCTCGTTGATTTTCATGAAAAAATGAATATTTGAAGATGCGTCAATATCAGTTGGTATTTTAAATTTGTTAGTTTAATGATGAGGGCTTTTATTTCAACCGCATATATATCTAACCTTATTAACTAATAGCACAAGCATTTCTATTGTTAGTTTCAGTTTGAGTCTCAACATTTTGCCTCCATCATGATCTCGATCTCGGCACAGCTTCAACTTTTGATCTCTATACTGTACATCTCTAATTATAAGATTTAAAAACTAGACGAAAAATAACGATTATTTACGAAACAAAAATTACCGTCTTATATTATTTAATTATTACATATTCTCCTCTTTTTGTTTGAATACGGTTCTAATAATGTAATCTCGTACTATTTGAATGATTTTTTTTCTCTTATAAAACATAATAACTTCATTAAACTAATCAAATTTCATTTGTAAAATCAAGGGTGATCAAAAATTAAATGTACATATATGAAAATGATGCTTATGCTTTATAATATTTTGTTTGATTGTCAATAAAAAATACCATTGAATTGCAGTGAAATATAGAATACTTGTCTTTCAAAATATTGAATGAAAGAATGAGGTAGTATGAAATTACTTTCTATTTGTCTACTTATTGGACACAAAATGTTCAATGAACAAATGTATTTTAACCTTGTCAGTTCGCTTCAGTGTCGCGCCTGTCGTTTTTTTTATCGATAATAAATGATGCTCTTCGTCTGTCTGTTTCTTTTTTTTTTTTTTTTTGCCAATTTACATTTGTGAATCGAACCGTATCCAAGTAGTAACATCAACGTTGTTGTGGTTAATTTTTAAATGAAAATTCTATTTTCTTTTTCTTGTTTAAATTAAATGCAAAGCTTTGAATTTGTATTTAAAAAAAGAAATTTAATATAAAATGGCTGCACGTTTTATGGAACTTGAACGTAGAACATTAATTGTACAATTCGTAGGTGTACAACCATTAGCATTTTATGCAACATCAGATGGTACAGACTTAGTTCAAGATATATTACGAAATCAATTAGCTCGATCAAATACTAATATATTTGGACAAGAAGGTTCATTATCAATAAATGATAATGGAGAATTTCTTACATTTGAACCAGCAGATACAAAAAATCGAACATTACATTTACCAATTGAACATTTAGCTTATTGTGGTGCATTAAGACGTATACGTCGTGATCCAGGTGATCAACGTAATCCTGATCAAATTTTACGGCGAGAGTTTGAAAATGTTGATTTAGCAAATCGTTATGCACAATATATTATTGGTCCACCTATATTTGTTGCTGTATTTCATGGTTTTGATAATGCACTTTGCTATACATTTATAACACAAAATGCTGATGATGCTTGTCTTGCAGTTACGAAACTTATGCGTGCATTTAGACAATGTGAACAACAACTAGAAGAACAAGGACAAGCAAATCAAGGTTTTCCTTCACCTGTAAGTATCAGTTGTGTCGAAGCACCTTCGCCTGTCGTAATCGCACAAGGGTGCCCTGTATACGAATCACCACAAATAGCTTCTCCTGCTTGTATTCAACTACCGAAAAAAGTAACGAATATGTACGTTCAAGATCCATGCCAAGATAGTTTTATTCAAAACCTCCTTTGCAATCCAAATTTTCAAATTATTAATCAACCATGTTCATCATCAGCACCTGCTATTACTCAGTGTGTTGATAATTTACCAATTATTTCAACATCATCACCTTCAGTAAGTTATTAATTATTATTTTGAATATGAAGAAAAAAAAATTTCCTACGTAATGAAGGTACGCTATTCTTCAATCAATCCTGCATCTGTCGTTGTACGTACGCATGAAACCTGTTGTCCTTCTCCTTGTTCGCTAGTTCCACAAAAACGTTTTGTGTGTACTGCATCTCCATGTAGACAATGTTGCTTACCACTTTCTTCAGCTGCTTGTGTTCATAAATAATTTATTATCATTAGCATATTGTCATTTGCTTTAAAAACTAACTAAAACAAAAACAAATAGATTCTTCCTAGAGCTTGCTTATCAAAACTCTTCATCATTCTTTTTATCAATAAAAAAAAAAAAGAAAAAGTATTCAATATTTTCAACAAGGATTTACCATTCAACGAAAAAAATTGCTTCTTGTAATTTGCTGTTTTTTTGAAATTTTGATTTTCCTCTTCTTGTTTTCAGACACAACAGAATTTTCCTGTTGTTTCTACTATGTTACTCCAAGATGGTAGTACAACTCAGTTAATAGGTGGATCAGCACCAATGTATACACATCCTCCTTCTCCACCTATAATCGGTATTCCTAGTATAGATCATGCTCAGAATTTATCATTCGGTAATAATCTTCCTCCACAAATCGTTCATATGCCAAACAATCAAGAAGTAACATATAAACAAAATATTATAATACGATGGTTAAAACCACCAACACCTCCACCACCAGCACCAATTATAATTCGAGGTAAAATTTTGTTTTGCATCTTATTGATTGATTGAATTTATGAAAATTAGTTGAATTTTAATATAGAAATTCAATGTCAACCTGAAGTTCAACCACCAATTATTTGTCGTCAAGTACCTCCATGTCCACCAACACCACCACCAATTATTGTCAGGTAAATATTCTTTTTCTCATTATTAATTATTAAAATATACCTATAGAGAGCAACCACCACCTTGTCCATCACCTGGACAACCTATAGTTATTGAAAATTGTGAACCACCTCCTTGTTTACCACGTCAAGGTATCAACATTTTTTAAAATAATATTCTTTTTTTTTCTAATTTACAATGAAATAATTTAGTTATTTTTGAACAATGTCCACCTCCTCAACCAAAACCACAAACAATAATCTACGAAAAATTTATGCCGCAACCACAACCACAACCACAGCAAATAATAGTAAAACGTGAAATTTGTCCACCACCATCAGTATGTACTACATCACAACAAAGAGTTCCATGTCAACGTGTAGTTCGAGAAATAGTTCGACAAGTTCCACAACCATGTACACCAGCTCAACCAGCTCTAGTTTGTACTTCACAACAAAGACAACAAATTACTCCAGGACAATCACAAGTTGTTCAACAATTAGTACCCGTTTTTGCTACAAGACAAGTTAGTTTAAATATTAAAAAAAAAAAAAAAATATTGATTATATTATCAATGTTCTTTTTTTTTTGAATAACAAGCTTTAAGGATAAAATGTATAGTCATGATAATATTTTATTAATTTTCTTTTTCATATTTTACTAAGAGCAAAAAAAAAGAAAAATTAATTTCTTCATGATTTTATCAAGTCAAAAGAAGTCTATTTAATAATGAATTTCATTAAGATAGAAATATGTCATTGTTCATCTACAATAAAAAATTTTATTTCTAGTATATTTTCTATAGATATCATACCTGATTATTAAAACTTACGTTATGTTGTCTCTTTTCATTTACATATAAATCTATGACGAAATTTATCACAAAATAGAATCTTATATGAAACTTGATATTATAAATAAAAAAAAAGTGGCACAAGACTTAATGAACTTTTCCAGTTAGAAATGTATAAAAAAGAAATAATAAATTTAATTATTTTGTCTTTGGATTTGACATCATCATAATAGACTTAAAATATAAATTAGAAAATGATTTTTCCCGACAGAAAAGTTCATTAAAACCCTGGCATATTCTTCTTTTTATTCTTTGTTAAACTGAATTATGTCAAAGAAAATTATCAGATAAAAACAGTTTTCCAAAACAGAAAAATAATGACTTTTTTTTCACTTTTTTTTCTTTCTTTTCTTTTGATCAAATATTCATTTGGTATTTACACCTCAATGAAAATAAATTTCGTTTTGTAATTATGAACTATTCATGTCTATTTCTAGCATATTGTTCAACCAAAAGGTATTCGCGTCATTCGGCAAGTAATTGGGCCAGCTCAACCATTAACAACGAGATAAATAGATATTTAACAAAAGCTTTCATACATTTGTTCTTCAACCCAATCATTTTTGAATCCAATATTATAAACAACTCTGACAAAAAAAAAAACCTTATTGATTCTTCATTTGACATATCTTTTTGAATAATCTGTATGTTTCTTTTTTTTTTGTGTCGTTTTTATTCATAATATACCTTATTTGATTAATATGCTAATACTAGGAAAAGATTATTCTATTTTATTAATATGTTTCATGATGCATGACTGATTTTATTAAGAAAAAAATACATGAATAAATATAAAAGACAGTATGATGGAAAAGAATAATAGAAGAAAATAGAAAATGATGACGAAAAATGTAGAATTTTTCCTTTCTTTGTCTTATTTTATTAGTTGACTAACTGAAGTGAACATGCAAACAATCCATTGCATTTCTTTTTTTTTTTTGTCATCATTCATTTTTATCAATTGAAATATGTTTGGAAGATGAAATTTCTTTCATTTTTTAGAATTTATTTTTATTTAAAATTCAGGTAGGACTATGAAATTATATAAATATGTATGAAGTTGTACGATAGAAAAAGTAATGAAAATTTTAAAAAATCAATAAAATTAAAACTTGAATCTATAAGAACTTTTAACTACTTTTATTTAAGTGCTTTTCTTGATTTTCATAATTGTAAATCAAGCTTATTTAATTTTTATTCGCTTGTTAAGTAATATTTTATATTCATGTAGAAAAGTATAGAAGAAATAATCTTTTCCTAGTATTAGCATATTAATCNAATGACCAATTTTGACATGAAACAGGCCTTAACCAGGGGCGTAGCCAGGGGGTGTGGACATGGTGCCCGGGCACACCCCTTGGTCAAGAAACATCTGGAAGGGGGGTACAGGTGAAAAATCTTTCAGAGCAACAAAAATTTATTTTGCTGCTGGTGTGCACCCTCCATAATAAGTCGGGCATCTCCCTTAGAAAATTCCTGGCTACGCCACTGAAGTAATGCAAGTTCACGAAGAAAATATGTCATAAATCAGATGACACTACGTCACCGTTCTCCGTAAGTTTGTAAAATGGAAACAATAGTAGAAGATATATCAATACAATGACCATACTTTATAACATACGTGATTATTTCTGATTCGAATGTTCTACGGAGTATCAAAAGGTCAAATCTTTTTTAGCTATTTTTTAAATTTTAATAGACTATTAACATTGAACACCCTTTATGTTATCGAGTTATTGCTCACCAGGAAAAACCCAAACGTTCATCATTTTATGAATACGTTCTATGAGATCCGTACGAATTCCTCCTCAATATATTTTCACTATCTTCAGTTAAAGATAATTTGTCATTGAATTATTATTTTGTTAAACTTAATTCTTTTTTAAGAAATTTCTTTAAATAGTTGATCAAGTTTAATATAGAAATTTGTCATCGAGTTGACTGTTTTTCGATGATTCATTTGAGATTAATACAACAAAAAAACGATTTTATTTCAAGATCAAGTATTCGGATCAATTGACAGAGACATTATCTTTCACTTGTATTTATGTTGTAGTTCAAAAACAGTCTGTGGTCAACCGTCTGAAAAAAGGTTAATAAGATCTTACATGAAAAGAATAAGAATAGAAATCATATACTCTCATTCATGACTAAACGAGCGTAATAAAATCAATAACAATAGAAAATATAATGGATTGTAATGTAGCATAAAACGTTTCATCAATTTACTGATCACAATAAATGAAAAAAAAAAAAAACTGAATGTTTCCACTCATGTGAAAATTTGCAAAATAAAATTTTCTCTAATCTTCGTTTTGTTTTCACGACTGAGAAACTTTGTCTCTATGTTTACAAAATTTATATCATAGTGATTTAAACAATTTCTTATCATTATAAATTAGAACAAATGAATAAATTTAACAATATAAATCATATATATTTTGTTAAATTGTGTTTTTAATTGATAAACTTGTTAAAAATATAGATTTCAGTTCTCTAAATTCATGTTATAATTAATAACTAACAAATAATCTAAAAAATATCTTTATTAAATAAAAAAAAATTTCTCTTAAAATCATTTATATAATAAATAAAATATAATTAGGTGCATTTGATCGTTTTGTGTACATTCATGGTCATACATCATCGAGTTCATCATGGACAAAATGGTGTCGTCGTATATCAACAAAATCTGGTTCAATAATATTGTTAATATTACCAATAATATGTAGTTTACCAATAGCTATATGTAATTCTCTTCATGCACATGTATTACATACATCATTAACAAATAAAATTTGTATTGTACAATATACACATGGAATATTAATTGCTTTATTAATATCATTTTATTTATTACCATTAGTATTTTCATTTTTTCTTCATGGAAAATTAATTTATTTTATTCGTACAAGACATAATCAATATTATTTAACAAAAACAGCATATTTATTACCTATGAAACGTAATAATACAATAGAAACTCGTTTAAAACAACGTTCAAATGAAGATAATATTAATTATAATCCTGATTTTTTATTACGACCAACAAATTCATATAATCGACGTCTTGTTACAATAAATACAGAAACAATGGGTCCAATAACAACAACAACAACAGCAATAGCAGCTGCACAATTAGCACGATTAAATCAAAATATAAATAATTCATCAAATTCATCTCAATCAAGTCGATCATCAGCAGCAACAGGTTCAACAACAATAACACCACCAATTGTTCTTTATAAAATAAATTCTCAAGCAAATGCAAATGCAAATCGTACTGTTTTATTACTTGTTCTTTTATTATCATTTTATGTTTTTTGTTGGGCACCATATAGTATATATACATGGCATCATGCATATAAATTAACACAATCATCAACATTAAATTCTAAAGAAAATAATTTAACATTATCATTTGATTTTAATCAAACAATATCAACATTATTAACAAATAATCTTAATTCTGATTTACGTCGAATTATATTTATTAATTATTCATTATATCTTTTATCAATGATATCAATGTGTTTTAGTTTTATATTTTATTTCTTACTTAATAAACAAGCACGACGAGAATTTGCACATTTTATGAGATGTTTTTGTCCATGGATAATTCATATACCAAATAAAGAACAAAGACAACAATTTCTAAGACAAGAACAAACAAGATCAAGACAATTAAAATATAGAAAACGAATTCAAAATCAATATCCTTATAAAACTGAACGAATAAAAATATCTCAACCATCATTAATTAATGATCGATATAATCATATAAAACGTGTGAATTCTCCTCAAAATGTAACACCAAAACGAACAGTACTTAATTATGGTTGTCAAATTCAATGTTGTCCATAAGTTCATTTGTTTTTTATTGTAAATCAAAACAAAAACAAAAAAGAAAATAAAGATATTTGCTTTGTATTTTATTGATGTCTGTTGTTATCGGGGCTTTGATTAGAAGTTTATTAAATTATTATTAGAAAAATTTGAAGAAAAAGAAAAACATAAGAATTTATATATTGTTTAAAAATTTCAAAGAAAAAAAAAAAAAAAGAACCTTTTTAATACCAATGAGGATGAATAAAAAAATATTCTGGAAAAGTTTTTTTCGTATAATTAAAAAATGATGATGTATTATTATCAGGACGAACATTAAGTTCAACATCTTCACGTGGATTAGTAACACGCCATGTTTGTGAAAGATAACGTCGAGATGTTTTATCATTTGTAGTTGATATATTATTAGAAGAATTTTCCGATTGAATTGTTTCAGAATTTTTTACAATTGATGTTGATGGACGTTTAGAATTTATTTCTGATTTCGATTCATTTACATCAGGTAATGGAACTGTTGAAGCAATTGATGATGTTTGAACACTTTTTTCTTGAACAGATGTTGAAGGACGAAGACTAAAAATTGCAAAACAAATAATGTTAAATTTATTTACAGTCGAATAGTTTATCTATGACCGTAAAAAATTATAATTAACCTTATATAATTGTCTCATGTACGATTATTAACGATCTCTAATGACTGTGCTTATTCGACCAATATCTAATAGTATAGAAGAAAGTTTTTGATTTGTTCATCTTAATTGATAGTGGATCACTGAATGTCTATGTCAATGAAACAACTATCAATGGATATTTTGAAGTTTCTTTTTCTTTTTGAGCATAAAAATAAAATTTCTTTGATTAGACCATAAATTTTAGAGTTTAGTTTCTCAAACTTCATATGAAGATCGAATGAATTTGATCTTATCGTTTTTACTCTTAAAAAAAATCTTCATAAAGAAAAAAACAAGATATATTTTATATGAGTTTAACAAAGAAAATAAAATAAGATTAACATTTAAAAATCCTAATAATTACCTTTTTAATGATTGAAGAACTTCTTCAAGATCCTGTTTTGATGTTTGACTATTTTGTTGAGACAATCGTCGTTGTGATGAATAATTTGTAGATGTATTTATTCTATGAGATAATCGAGGATTTGCTGATTTTTGACGTTGTTCTTTATTTTCATTTATACGATCATCTTTGTAAAGTGTATCAAGAAAACTAAAAACAACTCGACGTTCTTTAAAAGAAAAATAATTTTAATTAAAAAAAGATATAAAATGGATTTTACCTTGTGGTGAATGATGTGCAAACCAAGATTCAACTGTTTTATTTGCATAAATTCGTTGTTTTAAATTATATTTATGATTATTTGATGTTATTGGTGAAATCATACGAGATGATTTCGGTATTACACCAGGTTTATGTATAGATATATCACGATTATAATATGCATCAACTTGATTACGAGACTAAACAACGAAATAATATCAAGTATATTTATTCATATTTATTTATTTATTACATACCCGATTCATTGTTAATTGTTACTTTTTAGATAATCTTAATAGAACCGTTAATTTTGTTGTTTCAAAAAATGAAAAAAAAAAAAGAATCAATAATAATTATATCAATGACATAAAATAGAGGAAATGGAAAAGTACAAAAGAATAAATAACAAAAGCAGATGTTTTCTTTCTCTTGTTCTTCTTTTTTTTTACTTAGTTTAAGATGATGAAACATTAACGATCATACTTCGTATTTTATATCATGTTAATGGATATGTGTGTTTATATCTACACGATACCTTAGCTACTATCTTATTCTTGCTACTATCATTCTTTTTTTTAAAGAGTATGTCTTATAAACTAAATCATAAATGGAGTGAAGAGATTTCAATGGCAAACAGAAGCAAAGAAAACCGAAAAACAAAAAAACATTGATAGATGTATCATTACAACTGTTGTTACATCAGTTGACCAAACATAACAAACAGTCATATACGGAGAAAAGTTGTTGTTTCTCATGCTCGTTCTATAAAAATGTCTATTTGATTGAAGTGGCCACTTGACAATTGAAAACGAATATAGATTAGCAAAAATAAGATGTTTTTTACAAGAATTAATTTGATCGATCGAAATCGATGAATATAATTTCTTTATTATTTTTATTCTAATATATAATAGACAAATGCAAAAAAAAATATAATGAAGAGATATTATTAGGTTATATTTTCTTTTGTTCCTATAAATTATTGAATGTGATGAGAATCTTTTAATTCAGCCGGTAATTCATTTTTAGGATGTTTGTTTTCAAAATGTAATTTATATGTTTTTCGATCTCCCATTTGAGTCTAAAAAATAGAATCATATTTTAAATTGGATATGTTATCTTGTTTTTTCGTTTATTTACTTTACAAATGCCACATTGATAAGTTAAACCAGCAGCTAGAAAATCATATTAGAAAAAAAAATTAATATAAACAAAAAAGTTTTAGTGTTTTTTGTTTTGTTTACCAGCAGTGCCTTTTTGTGTTGTGGGCTTATTTGAAGAACCACTTTTTTCATTACGTTGACGAGCTAATTCTTTTTGATGTCCTCGAGCCATCTTTGATAATAAAATAATTTTCTTTTTGCTCTGAAACACACAAATAATCATAGTATGTTATCATGTTCAATATTATTTTTATTTCCTATAGAATATGTTAATTATTGATCGAATTCGAAATGCAAATCAATATATACAGTTAATGTCATGTGACTCTAAAATCGATGATGCATATCGATATTAAGTTGAGTAGGATGAAAGATAATATATAATAATAAGTGATTTATTAACTAAATAAAAATCTTGAACATGAATAGAAAATATTTCAATTTTATACTCATAATCTTATGTTGCAGATGATATGATAAAACAGATTCATACTTTTTTCATTGAATTAAACAAATCTTAAATAACAGATGGCAGTATTTTACAATAATTACCTTTACCTAATCTTATATTTATTAAAAAAGAAAAAAACAATATAATTTCAATTCGATTTTTAATATTATTATTGCAGAATTTTATTTTCTCTAATTTGTTAAATAACTAGCAAAAGTTCAATGAATACATTGTCTAATTAATTTTGCTAATGTGTTCTGCCTACTTTTGTTTTCACCAGATTACCTAAGGTGACGCCATGAGTTCAGTTTGTATTCATCATTTTCATTAGATCTTACAAATAGATTTAAAATTTAAAATCTATTCATTTTTTGATTCATTAGTCGCGTTAGATTCTTTGAGATTATTATAATATTCTGGAAAAAATACAGAAAGTTTACAGAACCTTTTTTAAACGTTCTGGAGATTTTCTTTATTTTTTCGAGAGCAGTTCTTAAGAAAATTCTCATAACATTGCAACATAATATTACTACGATAGAGTTTTTCCAAAATATCTACAATGTATAGAATACAGATAGAAAAGCGCATATATTTTGGAAAATTTATAGTTCGATAGTATTACGCCCTGTGAACTTCTGCAAATTTTCATATAAGATAGTCGAGTTGACACCTTGGGTTGAATGAAATATTGATGAAGAATCAGGTTCCTACAATAAAATGCCAGCAGCACTCTCGTATATCAGCTGGATCACAACGTAGGCTCATATCTCCTTAGGGTTTTTCTATTCTACAGGTCTTCTACTTGTAGACAAAATATGAGGGCAAACATAATGAATCACTTCGAGCAGTCCTCTTGTTAGTTGATTAGTATGAATACTTAATATTTATGTCATTGTTTTGTGAAAAATGAACAGTTTAAAACATTTTCGGTATGAGATATTAAGTTTCTATACCTACAAAAATTAAAAACATTTGACTATGAAAAAAAACTTTATGAAAGCAGCATTTTGTGTCTTGTTATATGATTAAACGATGATTTAATGAATTTCTCAAGTGAATTAGAATCGTTTGAAAGGTAGCCAGAGAGAATTCGTTCAATAATCTCAGCCATCAAATGACATATCGATGCTGCCAAAGATCCGACGAATAATGATTCATATATATTGATATTGATTATATCGCCAACATCATAGACATGTCAACTTGAAGTATGAATATTATATTAAACTAATATTTTCTCTTTGGGCACGACGGTTGCAGATGAAACTTTAATCATTTTATCTACTCTTTCTAATTAACTATTATTTAAAATATTTAGGGCAAAAAACTTGTAGTTTGTGAAAATGAGAAAAATTAGTGTCAACATATCACGCGAGATTATTATGTGCATAACAGCTAAAGCCCTAGCAGATACATAATATATTAATTGACTTCATATTTTTAAGAAGCTATCAAGAGTCATGCCTATTGATCCTAGATTGTGTCTCATAGGTTAATAAATTCGCAGAAAAAAGTCTTCAATTATATATATTCTCCTAATTGACTGTACATTTTCAAATCAAATCGCTGTATAAGTGCATAAACTAAATACAATTGAGAATAAATCATGCTGTTTTCAATCGATAATTCTAGATCAAACATGGTTCCTCATTACAAAGAAAAATCTCAACATTAAAAGTTAAAATATAGTCGAAAAATTAAACTGACGCATGCACTATCAAAGTGATCTCACTTTGAATTATTTTTAAGAAAATTCTCTTATATTAACATTTTCAAAATCAAAAATTTGTTTTCGTCGATTTTTTTATTGAAATAGTATAATAATTTTGCAATTCGTTCATATAAATATTTGCACATTATTTACTCTTCTGTATATGACAATGCATAAGAACTATCTTATTCATATGATGTAGGAATTGCATGTTCATGTCAAGTATGTAAATATATTTAATAGGAAAAATATGTACTTGTTGACTCATTAGTGAGTCGAATTATAGTTGATTTTAGAATTTTGAGAGAGAACAGTATCAAAATAGGAGCCTTGATGATAAATCAATCATTGTTAATTCTAGGCAATGAATACGAATAAGACGAATTATAATAAAAAATACGCGTATAAATTATTTAATTCTTATTGATTTTTTCTTGATGAATATACAAAAGATATATTTGTTAGAATTTCATTTTTATCAATTTTATTCAATTTTTGTTTTTGTTTTTACAAAAAATGATCTATATATTAAATACCTAAGATTGGCAAAAATCAACCAATCAAATATAAGATATGACTCATAAAGAAGGTTCTCTACACTACTGCGTCATAGTGCAATAAAACAAAATTTATTTCGAAAAATTTCTTTACGAAATATAATAGTCGAAAGTAGATTTAACAATATCAATTAATAAAATCATTCTCTGCATTTTGTAAAACAGACAGAGATCTCTTGAAATTCATTTTAAGCAAGACAAAAATTTTCAGATTATGATCTTTGAAATTACGTTTGTCAAATAAAGTTTGTTTTTTTGTGTCTATTTTTAGATCAATAGTAAATAACAATTGGATTATATGATATGAAAATCTCATTGTATAATGGCTTCTTCTTCAAATGATGATTCGTTAAAACTTCCAAAGTATAGATTCTTATAAAAAAAAGACTATTTTTATTTTTATCTTACAATAGAAATACATTGTACAAAGATATATCTCCTCATCAATGGCCAATAATTTATTCTTCAAATTATAATATTGGTTTTCTCTATATGGAAAAACTTCATCCATTTGATTCATCAAAATGGGGATCAATTATTAATTTTCTTCGACGTATTTATAATATATCAAATATAATTTGTTTTTCATATATTGTTTTTCTTCTTTATTCATATCGTCAGAGGCTAAAATGATTACAAATGATACAATAGTCAATCCAAATGAAGCAACAACAGATGATCTTCTTTTAGTACATACAAAACGTTATTTATCAAGTCTTAATTGGAGTATACAAGTTGCACGTGTTCTTGAAGTACCACCAATTGCTTTGTTGCCTAATTTTATTGTTCAATGGCGTGTTCTTAAACCATTACGATATCAAACTGGTGGAAGTGTACTTGTAAATATTTGTTTGTTTGTTTGTTTTTTTGTGTCGAAAATTAATTTCTATAAAATATTTTTATTTTTAAACTTCTTTTATAAGGCAGGAAAATTAGCATTAGAACGTGGTTGGTCAATAAATGTTGGTGGTGGTTTTCATCATTGTTCATCTGATAGAGGTGGTGGATTTTGTGCTTATGCTGATTTAACATTACTTATTATGAATCTCTTTAATTATTATTCTGATCGAATAAAAAAAATTCTCATTGTAGATTTAGATGCACATCAAGTAAACATTATTTTTCAAAAAGATACAAAAAAAAAAAAAAAAATTTTTTTTTTTATTGTTTAGGGTAATGGACATGAACGTGATTTTATGAATGATGAAAGAGTATATATAATGGATATGTATAATCGTCAGATTTATCCTCGTGATCATCAAGCTAAAAATGGAATTAAATATAAAATTGAATTAGAAAATCATACAAATGATAAAACATATCTTCGTTTATTACATATAAATCTTGAAAAATGTTTAAATGAATTTCAACCTAATTTTGTTGTTTATAATGCTGGTACAGATATACTTCAAGATGATCCACTTGGAAATCTTGATATTACACCTGAAGTATTATTTTTATTTTTGAATAAAATAATATTCAAATAATTTCTTTAGGGTGTTATTATTCGAGATGAAATTGTTTTTTCAAAATGTATTCGAGAAAGAAATATTCCTATTGTTATGTGTACATCTGGTGGATATCAAAGAACAAATGCAAGAGTTATTGCTGATTCAATTTTAAATTTATTTACAAAAAAATTAATTTCATGTTAATCAACCTTTTGTTTTTATATATATATGATATGATATATAATAATACTCGCGATCTTTTTTTACTAAAAATTTTATTTTTTAGATGAGTTCATCAATATTTCTAACAGGTTATGAACAATTGAAAAAAACATTGGAAAATTATGGAAAAGATAAAAGAGTTTTTGTACTATTTAGTGGAGCGAAAGATAGTCAAGGACATAGTTGGTAAATGAGATAATTAAAATAAATGATCAAGATTTTCTTTGTCTTTTTTTTTTTTGTGTAGGTGTCCGGATTGTGTTTTAGCAGAGAAACCAGTAGAAGAAACAGTTAAATCATCATTACCATCGAACGGAATATTTATTGAATGTTCAGTTGGTGATCGAGCAAGGTAAAATCGAAATAAAATTTCTATTAAGAAAAACTAAACACAATCTAGAAAATTCTTAAAAGGTTTCTAAAACTTCAAATATTCACAGTACTGAACTAAAGTAGGCGCCTTCTATGAAATGCTACTATTCTTTATGATATTGAGCTATTATTTCGGATATATACATGTGATAATAAATTCCGATTGCATCCACCAATCTGACTTCGATCGGTTCTCATAGACTTGAATTATCATTCAGATATAATCTTTCTCTTGTCATCACCTTATATCAGTTATATTAGCACAAATATGTATGTTGAAAAGTAAGTGCTAGATTTTAGCAAGATAAATTTTCTTCACCATAACTTTAATCAAGTTCTTTGAAAATTAAAATAGAAAGTTTACATAAGACAATAAATCAGTTCTGAAAGTTTTAAATCTGCATCATTAAATGAAATCGAGTTAGATCGACGACATTGATTTACTATCTCAAAGTGTACTAATTATTAATATGTTGTCTATGTGTCATGGACTTTTAGACATATGAAACTATCTTTAGTCTAAGGACAAAAAAATAGTAGGAGCTTGTGGAATAACAAGATAACAAACAAAAACTTGCTTAGTACATATTTTTCCGCTGAATATGCTTTTCACAAGAGAGAGAAAATGCATGAATCATAACTCTAGTACATATGAACCGATGAAAAGCGAGTTGATGCTTGTGATCAAGGTTTATTGTTGTATGCATATCAGCTTAATATCATAAAGAATAGAAATACTTGACATGAAGGACAACTAATTTTGACAAGGACTATTTTCAATTTGAAAAATTTTTGAGTTTGTTTCGAAAATAATTTTCTAAGGTTTCTCACAATATAGATTTGTTTTTAGTTGGAAAGATCCAAATAGTCGATTTCGAACAGATTCAAAGCTTCGATTAACAAATATTCCAACTTTAATTGAATGGGAAACGGTAATATATGATTAAGTATATTGAAATAAATTATTTATTTTCTTTAGACTAAACGTCTTACTGAGAGTCAATTACTCGATACAGAAATGATTAAAATACTCTTTGAAGAAGATTAAATATTCAATCTTTAGAACTTATAATGATTCTTATTAATATACATCTTGATCTTTTCTTTTTTTTTTTGTATTTGTGATTTCTTTTTATGTTTATGAGATTGATACAATTATTAGAAAAATATACAATGCTATTAGTTCGATTACACAAAAGATTTTGTTCATGTTATTGAAGTAAAAGAAATTCATTCTTCTATTTACTGAAAAATTATCCAAAATTTTATTGTTTAGATTTATTATTATTATCAACGCAAGTCTAGTTTAATTGAATAATGAGAGATTTATCAGTTGAGATGAAGAATTCTATTCATTTAAATGTCATTTTTGAGAAAATCTGTTTATGTCTCTATATTTCATCTTGACTCTATTGTATATATATTAAGTGATGAGTCTGTATAAAATCTTTATATGAATTAGAAAAAAATATGGTAAATAATTATATCAGTTAGGATATCTTTAAGTTTATTTGACGTCACAACTGAGCAGCATATTTTCTTTTGAAGTCATATTTACGAAGTAATAGTATGTGTAAAATTAAATTAAATCGTAAATTAAATATTATTAATTATACGATGGTTTGACAAGTCTTTGAACGACTGGTTTTTGTTTTTACTATTTCAAGCGATTTGTCTTTCACCTGTCGACCTAGATGTGCTCTTTGTATTGTCAAGTAAACTAGAGTATTCTAATGTCTCAATTCAGAATATAAATGTCAACAAAATACTCTAGAAAGTCTAAATATCACATAACAATGATAAGAAAGTCAATAAAAAAACTAACAAAAAACAACGAATCAGCCGATTTATGATAAGAACTCAAAAATATAAGAGTTGAGGATAACGAAAATTTAACATAGAAAATTCTTTTAACATAAATGTCTCTATCATCGAGTACGTTATTTTCTTTTTTATTTATTTATTATTTTATGTTTGTTACTCAAATAAAGGATCGTGCTACAGAGATACTGGAGCTGCTTGGGTTTTAGCAAGCAATGGTCAAGTTCCACCAAATGCTGTTCCTGGCGGACAAGAGGGCAATGGTCAAATACTCTATATCGCACGATTTATCACAAAAGAAGGTCAACTAGCTCCTGGTAAACTTGCTCCTCATTATCAACAAGCTTATGCTAGTTGTGGTGGAAAAGAACAATCTTCTTCAGTCTATCAAGTTTTGACTTATCCTAATCAACAAGAATTAAAATGGGTTCCCAGCAATGGAAATAATTTACCAACAGGAGCATTACAAGCTGGAGGTAATCAACAAAGTCCTTTATTTATTGGTCGAGCTTCGTTTCAAGGAGGTATATGCTGTGGAAAATTTGAGCCAAGTCATGGTTGTGTTTATTTACCATGGGGTGGACGAGAAAATAGTGTACCGAATAATTTTGAAGTTTTATGTTTAACGAGGATTTGTGAATAAATTTAATTAGTGATGAGTCTAATAAAGAATAAAACTGATTTATCGATCATTGAAAATAAAATAAATTGTGATTGACAATTGTTTAAACTATTTCTGAAGTACTTAAGGATATAAATTGAAAAGAAAGGTTTTTTTCTTCTAAAACGGCATCATTATTTTAATAAAATCTCTTATTATTCATTTTTCTTTTTGCTATTGTTTACATTTGACTTTTTGATTCTTTATAATTATTTACATGGGATCCAAAGGTCTTTGAACTAATTTCAAACTATGTTAGACCATATCACCAATTATTAAATCAATCAAGTTTTCTTTTTTTGTTGTTGAAAAGTGCAATGTCTGAACTACAAACTTTTTGCCAGACTTATTTTTCTGGAAAAAAATCTACAAAGTAGAAAAATCAAACATCAATAAACAAATTTTGTCAACGTGGAAAAGTTTTTATTTCTTAAGTAACTTGAGCTACATAGCTTGAACTCTATCATAAAAATATAACAATAAAGTCTTTTCATGATTTAATTTTTTTATGTGCTATTTGTTTGAAGTGCGTCAGATCTTTGAAACTTAACAAAAAAAAAGAATTCAAAAAAAAAATCTTTTTATTGTTGCAAAATAGTCAAGTAGTAAGAAAGACCAAATTCTGATATAAAAAAAATGAACAGAAAATAGAAAATGATATTGTGCGAAGGTGAAGTTGCAAGAACTTTTTTTAGAGATGTTCGGCTCTTATCTTCTTTTGCTTCGTAGATTCGTCCGAGAACAAAAAATCTAATACAAAATTTGTACTTCAGACTTTCTTCTTTCCAATAATAAAAAAAAAAAAAGAAAAACTTGATTGGTTTAGAAGTTAACAATGTGTTCTAACAAAGTTTGACATCCGTCCAAAGACTTTTGCATTGCTAGCTATTAAGAGTTTCTGTCACCAAGCTTCTTTACTTTAGTCTATGCTGCTATTACAATGAATACATTAAAAGTACATTACTATCTGATTGACATGCAGAAGTTATTCAAGAATTTCTTTTGTGTTATATTTTGAAGCAGATCAGCTGATGACACGTTGACATATTCAATGACATTCGTCGATGACACTAGGACATGCTGACTAAAAACAAACAATTTTTATTCTTAAAAGGCAATACAAAAAAAAAAAAAGAAAGAAAGATAGAGACAATATCATTATAATATATCATAAGTTCTTTTTGTTTCATTATAGAATGACATTAATTAAGACGAGATAAGAATTTCGATGTATTTAAGAATGAATGCAAATGATATAATCAATTATGAAAGTTTCTGATATTAATTCTATCATGTATCAATATTTACAGATAACAATGATTTTTTTCTTTTTAATAATATAAGTCATTTTTATCTTCAATAAAATGACAATATTTCAACTACAACGATTATATGTATATATATATATAAATACATCTTTATTATACACGTTATTCTAAAGAACTTTAATGTGTATGCATGAATGAGCACATCATCGTCTTTTCTTTATATAAAATACAAATTTATATACGTTTTATTTTTTGTATAAGACAAACTTATTTACCATTCGACTATTGATTTATATTAATAATACGAATTGAAACCCGGAAATATATTGATTATTTGATAATTATAATACATGTGTGTCCATGAATGCTAATAGCTATTCGAGAATTTCAAAAAAAAAAACATAAATAATCACATATAGAACTAAAAACTGAATTCTTGCATGTAATAGCATGCATATAGCAAAGTAATAAAGACGTACATGTTGACATGGAATCATTCGAGTTATCATTATTCTTGACATGGAAGAAATGAGGTGGCCTAGCTCCCTTTTCCACTGTCTCAGTGAATCTGTGAAGATTTTCTGTTGCGTTTAGCCTTCTGGCAAATTCGCCATACAATGCAGATTGCATATCGAATCTGTGTCTAGTGTTAATTATCAGTCTAATGTGACAATCATAATATATATATATATAGAATCTTTCAAAAAGTCTAGTATTAAGATTGATAAGATTAAAAGAAGTTGTGCTTATCTTCAATAACATTAACACAAAGTAGAAGTTTCAACGAATACCGGAATGACTGTATTGTTGTAATTATATTAACTTCTACAAAAATCAAAGCAACAGACGATAGCAATTGACCGACTATATTATATACACCTATAATTCAACTTCTTTTCATTGCGCATAATCGATTTGTATGTTTATCCATATCTGATTGTTGTGTGCTCATATGTGGGTATTATAAGAAAATAATTTGTTTCAATTGTAGTAAACGAATGACAAAAAAAGAATTCGAAAGATTGTACTCATCAACAATGTACGTGGGTTAAAGAAACTATACAAAACAATTCAACTCTCTCAGTACCTTCTCTATTGTATCATAAATCCATTCAATAGTATTTAAATATAAGAAAAAGTTTCAAAGAAGCTTTCTAAAAGCTCGAAATTGAAGGAATTATTCGCTTGTTGGCATCTTCAAAAACAAAAAAATATCCTTAGTTTAACATGACAAATTTCGATAATAATAACCGACTGTGAATATTTGCGAACAATGTCTGTAAAAAACAAAATATTAAACAACCTTATCCTCTGCTCGAAAACAATCGAATGTCTTGTTACTTAACAAAAAACTTTGATTTTCACATATCATGCGTGAATATGTAAACACTTACAAAGATAAGATTCAAGCATACTCTCGTATGTCATAGTTATATTTTATATGCAAATGTTTGTAACACTCGTATTCTTACACGTACTATTGTTCTGCATTGATACATAACAAGTCAAAAAAAAAAATGAAAATTTCTGATCATCTCTCGGATATACATGCGCTTTTTTGTTAGGTCATTACATTTGACTAGAATGTTTCCATTAAAATTATTGTCTGATATTTACTAGGAAAATATATTCTTCATTCTCTTCTCTTTGTTAAAAATGTAAACAATTATCTATTTTGCTTAGAATGTCTAACTATCTGAAAATAATAAGGACGTCAAGTGTGGGATACATTAAGCTTTATGGCTGTGAATAATTTTATTATATCTATGCCAACGCACATATTCTATTTAGTTTCTTTTTTGGTTTGTTTTAAGCTAATGCAAATCTAATGCTGAGTAGTATAGACAACAACAAACAAAAATATTATTTTTTTTGTGGGGTATTGTTGATTAAGAATACTTTTCTTTATTTCTTATATATAGAAAATCTGTGCAACATGAATAGAAGTTGACAGATTCCTCTTTTTTTTTCTCTTCTTCTTCTTCTTCTTCTTATCTTTTGTGTCGCTTTTGGATATTGTACTTTATAACATTCATAGAAGGAAATACAAATAACATTGTGGGGGAAACTAAAAGCGAATACTAATCAGAAATATTACACAAGTAATTTTCCTTTCTTTTGATCTTGACTTGTTCTCTTTTGTTGTTTTTTCTATCTAACTTTAGACAACTCATATGTATATATATCTAGTGTTTCTCAGTCTTTTTCTTAGAAAATAACATTTACATATATGATGTTATACTACTATTAATGCTTTCTTTATGTTAATATAGTAGATAAACAGAGTGTATTGTTTAGTTCACTTATTATTAATTATTCATTTTACTTTTAGAGTTATTCAGTATTTATTATAACATATTAAAACAATGTAAGTAATAATTTTGTTTTGATCTTAAACTGGATAAGATAAAAGCGAAAAGTAATAATCGATAGTTACTCACGATAAATTTTATAATGATGATAGTATATGTATAAATATTGTTTTAATTAATAGTGTCTCGTTTTTAGAATGCCTTTCGGAAATCAAGAAGCCGTTCGTTGTCCACGTTGTAATCAAGCTGTTTTCCATGCTGAATCAATTCCAGCTGCAGGAAAACAATGGCATAAGACCTGTTATCGATGTGGTATGTTAGACTTTTGTTTGAATTTTTTTTGTATTATTTCTAATGTTTATTTTGATTTTTCTAAAAAAAAATGGAAAGGTCTCTGCAAGAAAATGTTAGAACCTATGACAATGGCTGAACATGAAGGCAATGTATATTGCAAACAATGTTATGGTCGTAAATTTGGTATTCGTGGTGTTGGTTTTGGTATTGGTGCTGGAGCTCTTGCTATGGATACCGGTGATCGATTTGGAAATACTGAATCACTTTCGTATGTTGATATTTTTATTTATAAAATTGTTAGATTTCTTATTATTATTGTTTTTTTTTTCTTCCAGAAATAAACCAAATTATGCTACTCCACCTGGTGCTGCAGCAGCTAAAGTCTCTACTACAGAGTCATAAATTATTAAATAATAATAACAATCTAAGGGACAACATCGACTGCTTCAGTCATTCTTTATTTTGCACTTAGTTTTCTTAGTTAGGCTTTCATCTTTCCTTTTGTTTTTCTTAAATTTTTCATTCTTTACCTTTTTATTTTTTTTTAATATTTTGCACGGTTAATTAAAAATATTTGAGTGTGAGATATGTTGATTTTTGATAATAAAGAAAATACACGAGCATAAATTCAACAAAAATTTTTTTTATATAATTTAATTTTTAATTTAGACAAAATTAATTTACGTATTATAAGAATTCAAATTAATTCTTCTTATTTTTCAAAATGAAAAAGATTTAGAGTTAGTAAATGTTTTCCAACATTGACAAATTTTTCCTGTCTTGTGATATGATCTATTGATGTTATTATAGGAAATTGTTGAACAAAGATGGTTCACAGGTTGTGTTTCTTTTCGATGAAACCAATTCATTTCCTTTCGTTCATAAAACGGAATTACTTCTTTATGATTAGGCATGTACCGAGCTTTTTTTCGTTATTTTTCAACACTTTTATATTACAACCTTGAGCTCTCAAATGAAAGACTGAATCTTGTGGCCAAACCTATTAAAAGATAGACAAAAAATTTCTCTACAAAATGAGATGTTCTAGAGTTCTGTGTTGCAGTTATTCTAATTTTTATTTGCAGTGCAGAAAAATGTCTCAGCCGAGCCTGATCGAACCCGAGCACCGAGCCTAGGCTCGGTCAGGCTCGGTTTGTAAATTTCTCACAAAAACCAAAAGAATTGCTGCACAGAGATGAGGTATGTCTCACCAGATAGAGTAAAATTTTCTCTATCTTTTGATACATTCGATTACACGATTCAGCTATTTATTTCGCAGCTTAAGCTTTAATACGAAAAAACTCGAAAATAACGCAAAAAAAGCTCGGTACATGTCTATTTATGATGTTCTTTCTTGTTCTTCACTATTACAAATATATAAGAAGTAAACGCTTGTGTACAGTACTTAGTTTTTTTAAATTGGTTTATTTAACTTACGAGGGAATTATATCAATAGTACGCTGTCATTTGAGCTCATGTTCACTTTACAAGGAGATTTCGATAAGACCAAAAAAGCCTAAAATGATCCATCTATATATGGACCTTTGGAACTGAGTTATGACGGCTATAAGTACTGCATTATTGACCCATGTTTAGGTATTTACTAAAATATGTCATAATAGAATTTTCATTTGAGATTTTGCTTATCAGTAGATGATTATGGTTCCTGGAAGATATTGAAAGTTTTAAGNAACACTTTTATATTACAACCTTGAGCTCTCAAATGAAAGACTGAATCTTGTGGCCAAACCTATTAAAAGATAGACAAAAAATTTCTCTACAAAATGAGATGTTCTAGACTTCTGTGTTGCAGTTATTCTAATTTTTATTTGCAGTGCAGAAAAATGTCTCAGCCGAGCCTGATCGAACCCGAGCACCGAGCCTAGGCTCGGTCAGGCTGGTTTGTAAATTTCTCACAAAAACCAAAAGAATTGCTGCACAGAGATGAGGTATGTCTCACCTGATAGAGCAAAATTTTCTCTATCTTTTGATACATTCGATTACACGATTCAGCTATTTATTTCGCAGCTTAAGCTTTAATAAGAAAAAACTCGAAAATAACGCAAAAAAAGCTCAGTACATGCCTATTTATGATGTTCTTTCTTGTTCTTCACTATTACAAATATATAAGAAGTAAACGCTTGTGTGCAGTACTTAGTTTTTTTAAATTGGTTTAGTTAACTTACGAGGGAACTATATCAATAGTACGCTGTCATTTGAGCTCATGTTCACTTTACAAGGAGATTTCGATAAGACCAAAAAAGCCTAAAATGATCCATCTATATATGGACCTTTGGAACTGAGTTATGATGGCTATAAGTACTGCATTATTGACCCATGTTTAGGTATTTACTAAAATATGTCATAATAGAATTTTCATTTGAGATTTTGCTTATCAGTAGATGATTATGGTTCCTGGAATATATTGAAAGTTTTAAGCGAAAAAAAATGTATATTTCACTTGAATATTCAATATCTCAACAAAAGAAAATTCTTTTTGACTGAAACTTTCAAGCAATCCCAAAGATTCATGAGGCGCATCTCTTTTAGTCTTTTAATAGTCCCATCGGAATTTCCTTACGTAACCAATATGAGCTCAAGAGGCGGATTACAGTTGACGTAATTCTCTCGTGAGTATAGATGAACCATATAGAAATTTTTAATGAATTTCAAAAATGATCTTCTCACTAAAAAAGAATATTTCAATCAAATAAACCGTAGCAAAGAAATATGGAAAATAGTAACAGTGCTATTCTTTATTGGTCAATGATTATTATGTTGAAACTAATGAGAGAAAGCATCATTCCGATTTTCGAAGTAGCACATAACTATCATCAATTTCCGTTTGTTCTAAATTATTCTAATGCATTTCATGTGGTTAATACTAAGATGATTTATGTCGAAAAACATCTGATTTATCCTACAAGTAACCGATAATTACGATTAACAATAATTCCTATAGGAATAATAAAACAATACAATAACAACAACAATAACAAAAAGCAAAACAGTAACGAAAAAATGGCTTGTATAAAAAAGGAAAAAAAGAAGTTTTTTTCTTTAATCTGTAGATATGTTTTTAGTTTTTTTCGGTGATTTCGATTCAGTTGATGGTTCTTCATTGTCATTATTCGATTCATTATCTTGATCTATAATAAATAAATAAAATAAAAAAAAAAACTAATTCTTTTCAATAAATAGAAATAAAAATAAACCTTGTTCACGTTTTCGTTTTTGTCCATCACGACGTGTTCGTTTATCACGTCCACTTCGTTTTCCACTATTATATCTTTCTTTTTTTTGTGTTCGTTGTGCTGCTCGTTTTTCATTTGCTTGTTTCCAAAATTGTGCTTCTTCTTCACCTTCAACAATACGACAAGTTATTTCATTATTTTCAATAATTAATTTTCCATCTCCAATTGCTAAAACTTTTTCAAGAACATCTTTTGCTGTATTTGCTTCATTTAATCGTACCCATGCCTTAACATAATCAATTAAATTTTTATGGTAAAAAAAAACAAGGATTATTCTCAATTTTACCTCAGCATCACCTTTATTAAAATCAATCCATGGCATTTTAGTAAATGGATTAAATTTTGCTTTAATTAATTCACGTGTTGTATCAGCAGCCATACCTTAAAGTATTATCATAATATGTTGCATTATGTATTTTCAAGATTTTTTTTTTTTATATAGGGAAACACATTCGAGTGTCTTCTACAATTAAAGACACGATTTATGTCAAACCAGTAAACAACAATGTTTTTATTCTGTTCGGATTATAGGACATCTCGAATTGTCTAGAGAACAGCAATTTTCTTTGCTTCAAATCGATTATTTTTCTTTTTGGCAGAAAGAAATAACCATTTGAATTCATACAAGAGATGCATTGAAACATTTCAATGTGAAAACTGCCAAGATGATAGTATTTTTCAGTTAAAACACATTTTTGAAAAAGAGAAAAGTCTATCGACTTATAAACAACTCGATATGATCTATAATCTGAGTAGATAAAAAGTAATTTTAGTAAAATACTTTCTAATCTAGAAAAGCAACATATGAAGATTTCTCATCGTCATATTCGATAACTTTCAATCAACTAGTTTTTCATGATAAAGAAATTGATGAATTGAAAACGTTTTATCATAAAATTTAGTCAAATTAATCTTCAAAGAAGTTTTCAGTTCTATCAAATGATAGAATATTTAGCTCAATGACTCTTATTTGATTATGATGTTCATATGAAAATTGAAAATTAATTATTAAAATATTTTTACCAATAAGATGAATAAGAGCACCAAGTAAATTTCCATTATTTAATTTTTCTAAATGTTCATTTGTTTTTTTATTTAATTCTTGTTGTTTTTTTTCTTTTTTAAATTGTTTATCATTTGAACGTTTTTCTTTTTCATTAATTGTTAATTCCATAGGTTTATCTTTAAAATAATCATCTTGTAAAGAACATTCTAATATTGATTGATCATCATATTTAATTGGTATTTTTTTTGAATTTTCAACAAATTCTCGTGCTTTATCTTCATTTGGAAAAATAACAAATACCGAACCATTAAATTCTTTTGTTTTAAATTGTTTTTTCATTTGTATATTATCAGTTGCACCATATTTTTCAAAAAATTGAAGTAATTTATCTAATGTAACATCTTCGGTTTTTGGAAAACCTTTTACATAAACAGTACGATTTTGTAATGATAATTCAAGTTCAGCTTGACTATTTGGTAATGGACGATCAGGATGACGACGAATTTTATTTTCTGTTTCATTTAATTGTAAAAGACCTGAAAATGATTTTTTAAGTGCATTTATTATTGTTTTAAAATCTGTTGTTAATGATTGAAGACGTTTAAATGTTGTTAATATAGATAATGGTATCCAACCATCATCTTTAACTATTTCATTTTTAAGAAATTTATCTCGAACCATATTAATATCACTAAAATAATATTCAATTTGTCGAATAATTTTTTTTTCTAAATCTGGTAATGTTGTTATTTGACTTATTGTTGTCATATGATTATCTTCATCAGCACTTAACATAAATAATAATTTTATTATTCAAAAATTTTCAACAAAAAAAAAATTAAAAATTCTTACTGATCAGTTTTATCAACTGTTGTAGTTGTTGTAACTGAATGATCAGGATTCATCTATTGAAATAAATTTATTCGAAAAATAAAATTCTAAAAATTCTTCTATACTGTTTTAGTTTCTGTAATTGTTGTAACAACATCACCATTAACAACAGTTTCTTCTACGGATGATATTAAATCTGTCATTATTCAATGATTATCTAGAAGAACATCACCAAAAATAATAGATGAACTGAGTTTTTCTTTGGCGCTGAAGAATGAAGAAAAAAGAGAAACAAATTCTTGATTATAATGTGTAAATGACAACGGAAATGTTTTTCAAACAAAACCATTAATGGAAAACATTATATAGCACTCATATCGGACGAAATAAATGTATAAATATATATATATACATGCAAACAGAAGTCTTTTTTAATGATAATTTTTTTTGCAAAACAAAAACAAAAACAAACAAAACTACAACTGAAATAGATAAGACCGAACATTCATAGATTTTTTTAGCATAAGAACAAAAAGGAAAAAAAATCATTTTCGTGTATAGATTTGTAATCTAATGCATTCGTTTTTGTATAAAATGGATACATAGACCTAACAAAGAAAGAAATATATTTGCATTCATTTAAACGTAGACAAATCTCATTCAAATAGTAAAAAAAAAGCACAAGGATGGACGTTAAATTTTGATTGAAAAAACTAATTAAACTGTTGTTATTCACTGTTGATTGTATTATTCATGTTCTGGTTCACTGTTAAATGTTGATTCGCGTGATTCAGGTCGATCATCGGAAATTTGACCACCTTCATCAGAAAACATACCTAAATCAACAATAAATAATTATAAAAAATTATTAAAATAAATATAAAAATTTTACCATCATTTTTTAATGTCGAATGATTTGTTTTTTTTCCATAAATTTCACTTTCTGATGAACAATTTTCAAATGAATGATTATGTTTAGCACGATATTTTTCGTCATCAAGAATATAATTTTCATTATGCATATCTTCAACTTCACCTTCTTCAGATGACGTATAAGAACTATGTTTTATTGTTTTTCGTTGAAGACTTCGATCATTTATTATTGATGATGAAATATGAAATTTAATACAAGGTGGATGTTTACGCAAATCATCCGTTCGATAATGATCATCGATTTGTGATGATTGTTGATTATTTGATGGATTAAATTTTGTTGAAGGTGATGATATCAATGATGAGCATTTTGTTTTATTATTATTTATATTTATATAACGACGTCGACGTTGTCTTGGGAAAGTATCATAGTGAGTTTCATCACGATATTCTGAACTACTATTTGATAATTTACTCGATAAAATAGGAAGATTAGTCGAAGATTGTTGCTCATTTGATCGATATATTAATTCATTCATTGGTTTATCAAAGTCAAGTTTTAAATTTTTTCGATTCAATTCCTGATTATTTTCATTGGATTTTGAATCAATAATAGCTGATATAGTTGGTAAAGGAGAATTGATTGTTGTCATAGAAATTATTTTAGTAGATGAATTTAATTTTTCATCTGTTGTTAATATTTTATCTGTTTCATTGATTGAAGCACGTCTTTTTTCTTGATCTTCAATTGCTGAAATAGTCGGGGGTGTCCATAATGTTGCATTATCCTTACTATTAGTACGATGATGTCCAGGACCTTTTTTACGACGGCTTTGATTTTTTGTATTTCCTAAATCTTGCTTATTTGTTACTGTTGAAGATGATAATAATGTTGAATTATTTGAAGCTAAATAACAGATAAGAGTTTTCTATAAAAAAAGAAATTATTAATCAAAATGAAAGTCAATTTAAATGCTAATTCCAACGAAAATTATTTGTCCATATCTATTTTTTCATTTAAAAACTGATTAAAGTTTTCATTTATTAATCAATATTGGAATCATGCTAATCGGAATAAAATTGTCCGTAAAAATAAATTTCCACAGTAAATCAATCGATGATGAAGATCTATCGTTATAGTTAAATACATGAAACCAATGCATAGTTCTTTTTTATTTTTGTAATTAAAAATTTATTTAATTTCGATAGTTATATTTGTTATGAATATCTATTTTTATTTACTGTTTCGAAAAAGCTCTAATAATATCTCGGATTATGAATTTAGAAAATTTTTTCTCTAAACTGAAATATTCTGATGGTATTATTTTTCAAGAGTGAATCAATCCGATTGCTAAATTTCCTTTCGAAGAAAAAACTAAATAAAATGTAGTACATTTAAAAGAAAATTCTCTTTTTCTATTTTGAATATTTTTGATAAATGATTGTATTAAATAAACTTACATTGATTATTTTCTTTTTTAAAATGTCGTTTTTTCTGATATAATAAATTAATTGGATCATTTAAATTTCTAGTTGCAGCTTTAATAAATTCGAATGATTTTTTTCTTGCTTCTAATATTGTATTAATAGTTCGTTTTTTTTCATTAATATTAATTAAATGTTCTTTTTTTTTAATAACTTGTTCACGTTCTTCTAATTGTATCATTAATGATTTTAATTCAATATAAAGTGTATTTATTTGTTGTGTACGTATTTCATAACATCGACGTATATCAGTAATTTGTTGTAATTCTTCTTTACGTTTTTCCATTAATTGATCATTTGTTAATTGAAGTATTGATGATATATCTATTGTTGGAAGTTTTGATAGATTTTCATTTATTTCAGTCGAACATATATGTGTTAATTCAGCATATTCTTGTTCTTGTTCGAATAATATTATTTCAGGTGTTTTTATATCTAAATGTTTTATTATTTGCTGAAATGATGGACGATTTGATGGTTGTTGTTCCCAACACATTGTCATTAATAATTTAAACCCTTCAGGTATAGATGGTGGAATCGGTAATTTCAAAGTACCTTTAGCCACACCTAAATTCAATAGAAAAATTAACATGATTTATATGTTAACATTTTTCAATAGGGTATATACACTTACCCCACATAACTGCTATTGGATCAATCTTATTATATGGTACTGTACAGGTTACCATTTCCCAAAGAATAATACCAAATGACCTAGAAAAAAAAATTGTTTTCATGGGAGTGTTCTATCATCTGGCAACGATTAAAAAGTCATAGTCTGTATGTAACTGATTTCATTCAAATTCTGATATCCACAGGGAAATGAACTTCATGCTCGAAGAATTGACAATTCCAGTTCAGGAAGCAACGGTTACAATCAATCGGTGTTTCACTGGTAACCGATGTACAGGTGAGAAATCTATGATGAAGATGAGTTTTTAAATGCCATCAGTTGCGGTTTTCTTAGAGATGTTTGAATAAAGTGAAAAACTGTTTGTCATCGTTGCATTCCAAACCGGGATAAAAAATAAATCTGATATTTCTAAGATTTGACAATTTAACTATAATATAAGAGACCATCATTTATATTCGCATTCAAATAGCCTTACAAAATTCGATCGTAAGACTTAATTATTTCATATGAGATTATGATATTCTATCAAGTAATTTCAGCTAGTCTATAATTCGTTCTAGATTAATTATTAATCTATTGTAAAGATGAAACATAAGAGAGGCTAATCTATTGCAAAATCATTTTTAGTGATATTACTAGACTTTATATATCGAATGCTTTAACATCGATGCTTCCAAAAGTCGAAACATCGGACTTTTCGTTCATGAAGTGTACAATCACAATTAAACTACAAATGATAATTCATCTAATTTCTTTTATTTGTTTGTCTATGTTATGATAAGATTTATATATTTTCTCTCGTCAAAATTCTTCTTGTTTGATCAAAAAACCAGTATGACAATCATTAAGGAAAAAACTTTGAATGAAATAATTTTCCTAGTTAATTGCTTTCCATTATGTTTTTATTTACGAATTTTAAACCATAAATTCAATGAAGACTCGTGTCGGATTACTGTATTTGAAACTATTCAAAATTCGATATTAATTTGAAAGAATGAAATTAATTTTCTTTTTAAAAACTAATGACGAAAAGAAACGATAAAATTTCATAAGATTTTCTGAATATAATTATTTGTCAATAAAAAAAAAAAACTTACCAAACATCAATTTTTTCTGAACAAAGTTCTTTTTTAATAATTTCAGGTGCCATCCAAGCACTTGTTCCATTAAATGACATAATCTGACTTCGTCGACTAACTAATTCTTTACTTATACCAAAGTCTGATATTTTTAAAGTATTTTCATCAAAAAAAAGTATATTTGGTGATTTTAAATCTCGATGAACAATTTTATTTGAATGTAAATAATCAACACCATTTGATATTTGTCTTGACCAATCAAGAACTTGTGTTGCTTTTGTAGAAGAACTTATTTCACGATATTGTTTTAATTTATCATATAATGAACCATTTGCACAATATTCCATAATTATATAATATGATGGTGGTGATATAGAAATACCTAAATAAAATAATAAAAATTAAAGAAAAAACAAATAATAAATAATAAAACAAACCTCGAAATTTAATAACATTAATATGATTTAATTTTTTTAAATGTTTTATATTTGTTTCTTCTTTAGATTTAACTCGTTTACATGCAATATCTTGACCATTAAGTTTTCCATGAAAAACTGAACCTTCTATACCAACACCAATCAGTTTAAAATCATTTACTATATTATCAATTCGAATTTCCCAATCATCATTCGATTTTATTAATGTATTTGTTGTTTCTTTATTATATTTTATATTTTCACCAAATTTATGCATTGCAGATATAAATGGTTTAAAACATCCAAAAAATTTATCAAAAAAACCATTACTATCATCACTATTTGTACTTATATTAGTTCGAATACCTTGATATCTAACTTCAACCTGTGGAAGTGTATATGTATTACTACTTGTATTTGTAGTTATTGCCAATATTGAAGGTTTACGAAATATAACTGGTGGATCACGTTCACCTGTTGGAGTTGATGGAGCTGAACATATCTGTAATTGTGGTATATCATCTTCGGCTAATGCTGGAGTGTCATCTTCTTCCGGTGAATTTCTACTTTCTATTGAATTAACAGTTAATGAACTATAAATAACAAACAAATAAAACCTATCAGAAAACAAACAAGAAACTAACCCAAGATCCATAAGTTGTTCTTTAGTCATATTCTGATTAGATTCATCAGATGATGAAATGCCATTGAGTATGGTTATATTCGGTGTTGAACTCAAATTAATTGTTTCATGATTAACATCAGGTGCAGGTGACATTTTTTTTTGCTACTGAATATATTTGTCCCGAGTGTTACTATCTACATGGGACTTCTAAAAAGTAAACAATACTTATAGGATTTGTTTATTTTGAAAAAGAATTATTAGATCAACATTATTTCTCATCATTTTCGTTATATGCGCCTTTATTAGTAGTGACGTTCTCTGACAGCAGAGAAACAATTTGTTTGTTTGTTTCTTTTTTTTAACCAATCAAATAAAAACGAAACGTCGCTCATTTCAATAAATAAATTGAGATAAAATTTATATAACGAAATAATAATCTTTATTTTTCAATGAAAAAAAAATTTTTTAGAAAAAATACTTATAAATATATTTATGAGTCACATTAGAAATTTCAAAATAGTCTTTCATTCTTATCAATAGAGTAAGACTAATTTAACTCCTTATCGGTTTTTTTTTGCATTCGAGATTGTCGGTGCTCAAAGGATGAAAATTTCTATTGACATATTTATTGATGATGAAGTATGTAGTGATTCATACTCAATGACAATTTGTTGATAACGTTTATTATGAAGTTAGAGACAAAGAAAAAAAAATATTTTAATAAAGCATCGGAAGGTAGTGAAGCAGCTGAAAATGATGATGTTAGACTTGCATCATCAGCAATAACTGACATTATATTTTTAAACTCATAAATTTAGTTGAAACATCATTTAATAAAGGAAGTTTTAAAGATTGATTAAAAACAGATTCAAAAAAGTAAATTAGATTTATTTTAGATTCTTTTTTTTAAATAATTCTACTGAATTAATTTAGTCTTAAAGATAATTTTCAAGAGCATTTTTCAGATTGTATTCAATCATTTCAAAAAAGTATGACTAATTTAAATAAAGAATAAAAAGGCACTTGTTTGCTTTCGGTACACCCCCTCACCTGCACTCTTTGATGTGCGTGTGTTAAACACGCCAATTAGTGTACAGTGTTTAAAGTGAACAAGCACCGACTAAGGTTAAACCAAAAAAGAACAACAGAAATTATCTCTTATTAAAATTAAACATTTGATGGAAAATAATTATAGATTAATTTTGTGTAGAAGAAGATACAATCAATTTCAACTCGTAGATATCCTCGACATGAGCCTTTCTTTCTTTTTTTGTTTTGATTCCAAGCTTATTAAAAATTTTTCTCTATAATTGTTGAAGTCAATGATTTTTTTATTGTTCGCTGAACTTTAGTTTTGTTCGATGTAAATTCTTGTGGGTGATTGTTTTTAATATATATAGAAATAAATCAGTTATATATTTTAAACGTTAGATCTAACAATGTGTAATGTTTGCGTAAATACTGAATAATGTGTCAGCAAATACGCAGTCGATTAGGGTACTGATTAGACTGATATTCGTGTTGGATATAGCACTGAGAGAACAACTGTATGAGAAAAAAAGCATTTTTTTTTTGTAGAGATAGGCACCGAAACTTCATTGAACACGAGTGTTTGTGTAGGTAAGTATGCTCTTCGCCGAAAGATACATCGCCGAAATACAGTTTGCCGAAATTCGGCGAACTGTATTTCGGCGAAGTATGATTTCGGTAATGTAGCAATCGTCAATCTATCATTTCGACGATATGACTTTCGGCGATGTCACTTTCTGCGATGTAGTCATTAACAATGTTTTTTTTCAACGATGATATATACAATCGTTAAGTCAAAGTGCCTAGGTTGAGTTAGGAACTGACTTAAGTTAGGAACTAAGTCAAGTTAGGAACTAACTTAAGTTAGAAACTAACTTGAGTTAGGAACTGACTTGAGTTAGAAACTAACTTGAGTTAGGAACTAACTTGAGTTAGGAACTAACTTGAGTTAGGAACTAACTTGAGTTAGGAACTGACTTAAGTTAGGAACTAAGTCAAGTTAGGAACTAACTTAAGTTAGAAACTAAGTCAAGTTACGAACTGACTTAAGTTAGAAACTAAGTCAAGTTACGAACTGACTTAAGTTAGGAACTAAGTCAAGTTAGGAACTGACTTAAGTTAGGAACTGACTTAAGTTAGGAACTGACTTAAGTTAGGAACTAAGTCAAGTTAGGAACTAACTTAAGTTAGAAACTAAGTCAAGTTAGGAACTGACTTAAGTTAGGAACTAAGTCAAGTTAGGAACTAAGTCAAGTTAGGAACTAACTTGAGTTAGGAACTAACTTGAGTTAGGAACTAACTTAACTTAAGAATCAAGTCAGAAACTAAAACAAGCTGGGAATCTATCGCAAAAGTTGGTTGCAATTCATGATGTTTATGACATAGGTAAATAGCCGCTCTCCGTATGCGATTCATATCGAATGAGTGAACGAAAATAATGATTGCGGAAAGAATTTATAACTGATGAAGATCATCGAAAAAAATTCGGCGATCTTTATTTCGATGATCTTTATATCGATGATCTCTATTTCGATGATATCTATTTCGGCGATCTTTCGTTTCGACAATGTTTGTTTCGGCGTCAATTTCGGCGATCTCACTTTTCGATGATCTCGTTTTCGGCGACGAGCATTACATTCTTTGTGTAGTCACTGTGCAATAACGATACTGAGTCGGTGATAAAAAAACTGAAACTTCGCATCCCTAATTAGATCTCTTGACTTATTTAAGTAAACAAATAGTATGAAATGAATCATTAGTTATATGTTGATGTTAAATTAAAATCAAATAATAAAATAAAGAAGATCCGGTGTTGTTTATAAAAATTTTGATATTATGATGATCTTAATGATGCAATATGTATTTTATTCTTAATGGATTTATTCATTGATTGCATGATGATTTCGATGAATACTATTATTTTTGCTTGTACATTAATATAGGAATTATATTGATAATTGAGTTAATGATATTATTATCTTTTATTTATATCATGATGTTTAGTTTTTTGTCAAGACTTATTATTTATTTGATTTTATTTTCGACTCACACATATTAATAATATTGTTATTAGTTTGAAAATAGTCGTATAAGACCGAAAATTCTCGTTTTGTAATAATTAAACAAATAAAAATTTTAATCTATTTCATAAGATTCTTTATCATGAATCAATCTACTACATATGATTGTTTTTATTCAAAACTCCAATCGAACCAAATATTGCCAATATTTTATTAATTGATTTTTCATAAAAAACTTAAAGCGTTTAAAAATAATTTCATATTCATTAGATCTTTTACATAAAAGTTAAAATAATGTCTTAAATAAAATATTCTTTTGTTGAGAAAGTACATTATTTTATATAGAAAACCAAACTTTATAATAATAATATGCGGCACACATTTATTAACTCAACGATAAAACAAGCAAAAAAAATGAACCTAAATGCCAAAAATAAAACAATCTACCTATAATAATCGAATCTAATTATTTGATAAGAATTTCGGCTTTTCAAAACGATTTTCTAGATTCTTTACAAACGTTGAATAAGGACAATAATAATTATCACAATTAGGCAATATCTGTGGCTAGAAACAAAAAAAACAAATCAAATTCATGTTAATCATTTACTCGACTTACTTCACCAGCATAATTAACCGCAACATATGTTTCATTAGGATTTTTTTTTGATATATAATATTTCATAAAAATATATGAACCATAATCTGGCCAACGCATTTCAAAAATCTACGTACAAAAAAAGTATAAATAAACTATTAAAATTAAAATAGATAAATATACTTCAAGTGCCATTGCTAAAGGAATTAATGTTGTATCATGACCCGAATAAACAAATAGTTTTTTATACGGTCTATAAATTAAAACAAAAAAAGTTTACTAACAAAGAAAAGAAATTAATGAATATATATATATAAACTTTTTGATATTATTTTCTTTTTCGGCAATATAATTTTTAGCTATTGAATTAAAATTTTGTTTCATTAAATAAAGAAGTGGTCCACATGTTGAACGTATAAATAAATCAAAACCAATTGTTGTTCTAAATACAAAAAAAAATTCGAATTTCAAATGATTTATTTGAAATACATACGCCATTGAAACAAATTCTCGTGCAGACATTATTTCAAAATTTTTTGTTAATTCAATAAATTCTTTTGGAATAGAAAAATTATGTGCCTAATTTAATCAATAGATGATACATTTCAAATGAATTTAAAATAATACTACAAACTTGTCTTGAAACAAATTCATCATGTAATTCAACAATACCATGAGGATAATCGTTAACACCTAATTAAATAAACAATTGATTGTAAATACGAAAAAACAAAATTTTTCCAAAAAAAGAACATTTTTACCAATATGATTAATTAATGCTTGACGAGCTTTTTTTAAATCATTATCATCATGTAATAATCTATACAATTCTACAGCTGTGTGACATTTCTTTAGAGCTGGAAATACTTTAGAATTTGGAAACTTCAAAAAGAAAAATTATATTTTGGTTTTTTTTAATTAAGTTGAATAAGAATTCTTTACCATATCTTCATCTGGAAAATTATGAACTTCGATTTCGAATGGACCTTTTTATATGATAAAAATTTTTATTTTTGTTATGCTTTATTATATATAAATACCTGTAGCTTGTATTTTATTATTGTCTTGTTCAGATGAAAATACACCAGCAAGAAATGATCGAGCACTGGCTATGGTTCGATTCATATATGTTGATCGACAACTAATAGAAAAATGTATCAAGAATATCAATACTTTCATTTATTTCATTAAATCTAATCGTATTTCATTTAAAATTTAACATCACACTATTTTAGTTATTCATTATAATGAAATATCAAAATTTTATTTTAACACATAATCTCGAAATAATATGAATACTATCAAATTTTTATGAACACTACGGACATGATGACATTTCATTGAGTACTTTTGAAATCTAATATTATAATATAACGTGGAATTACTCACACGTAACACTTACACTCAAACAGTGATTGCTGTCCGTATGATATTAATGATTTGATGAAACATATTCTAAGTTTACAAATACATACGCAGCTGTCCCTTTTGCAGTGTTTTATTCAGAGGGAGCGGAGGGAAGGCGCTCCTCGGAGATTCGCGATGAACTATATGGCTGCCCCCTCCCCCTTGAAAAAAATTTGTTGCCCTCCCTGAATTTCAAATCGCCCCTCCGAAGAAAAAATACCTGGATAAAACACTGCCCTTGAGATATATGAGTAAAATCATTGCAAATGAAACATGATCATCTTCGATTTGAATTTGATTCTTTACAAAGATTAATTTTTGGAACAGATCCTTTCCCCATCAGTATATGGGCATATATTGATTCTTTCTGTTCACATCTAATTAAACTTCCTTAGTTAATTAATTAAAACGCAATTAGTAAAAAAGCTCTTCACCCTTATTATAGACAAGTTCTAGAATTTCAGAATAGATTCCATATCACTAACTATATTTATAGTGTAACTTTCAGCAAGATTGGATTCCAAAAACTTGCAACTTCGCAAACGGTTTTTCAGAGGTCTGTTTATGTCTTAGAACAATGTTTTTTTGTTTTGCTATCATCTCGAAAGTTTCACTAAAGAATTTCTTATTTAGTTAAAAGAGGAGTTTTCATTCATATATATTCGTACTCACTCAAGTCGCTAACGATGAATTTCAAGAAAACATTTAAGTAGAGGTGTTATAATCTGAAGCATTCTTCACAAAATGCGCAATTTAGGCTAGAAAAATATTGTTTGAACTTGTACTATTTGTAAATGAAGATTTATACAATGAAAATTTGTTCTTTTTTATATTACGTCGTTAACGATAGTTTTTTAATGGTAATTTAGTGGAATCAAAGTCTATAGGACAGAGTTTTTCAACGTATCTAGAATAACTCTAACATGCACCTGTTAGATAAAAATTAGTTAAAAGAATTTTCAAAGTCTAGAGATATACGTATTTTTATAGATATTTGAAGTTTAGAGATATACAAATTAATAGATTTTCATCTTCCATCCATGAGGAATTGCTTAGGTATGAAGAATATTTTCTTTCTTCATCAAAATTAATGCAATATAATATTGAAGGATATTAAATAATTTGAATGCTGACTGCAATTATAATTATCATTTCTAATGCATACTGAATCTACTTTTTCTTTTGATAAGTCTATATCATTTGATGAAAAATCCAAATGTTGAGAAAGTTTTGCAGACTTGTTTATTGACCCACTTAACATAAGAAAAATGTTTATTCTTCTAGACATTTGAACTGAGTAAGTCGAGAACTATATGTACTCATCCGTTTGGAGTTGCAAACTATTCGTTCTGAAAAGATATTCTTCACAAAATAAAACTAAAGTTAAATTTTCAATTTTTACAGATTCTCGACTATTCTACTTTGTGTTGTCTTTGAAAATATAACTGTCAAATCTAGGTAGAATAGATTCATTTTGTAATTTAAATTATTTTGAAAATCAAAATAATATTTCAATATGACATACTAGACAATATTTGAATGATAAATATTTGGTATAAGTCCATTGTTATCTTCTTTGATTATTTGAGATCTTATTAATTTTCCAAGTTGATATAATTGTTTTTCACCAATTGCTGTTAATTGTCCAGTAACTACTTTTACATCTGAAGTTGACTGAAAAGAAAAACAAAATACTTTTTTCTTTTTTTAAATCTTTTATTTTTAATATTTAACAAACTTTTAATTGTTTAATACGATCACCAATAACATCATTTGCTGACAATATTTTATCTTCTGATACAATATCGTTACCTATTTTTGTAATTAATTTAATATTCCATTTTGATGGTGGATAAATATCAATGTGTTCTTTAGTATAAGATACCTAGATGAAAACAAAAAAACAAAACAAAATTTCAAAATAAAAATAATCGAATTGTTATTATTTAAAATATACTTCTTCAAGTCCTGGTAATGAACTAAGTGGTGTTCGAGCTCCATGTCGAAAATATATTTGTGCACCTATTAATTGTAAATCATCACGAATATTCGTATCAATTAATTTATTTTTAATTGTTTTCGAACGTTGACCAGTTGATGCCCAAGAAATTAAAGTATTTTCATATGTTGACATCGGTTTATTTGATGTTATTAAAGACACATTATATAAACTTTCATAACATAATTTTAATAATATTGTTGATGTTCCTGTCAAAAATGACCATTTTAATATTGAATGATAAGGTTGTCGCATAGCATCAGAAAAATAAATTTTATTTTTAGTTTTTCTATTTTTATTTATCTATAAGAAATATGAAATTTTTCTTTTTCATCGTAGAACCTTCATTTTGTAATGATATATTTAATTAATTTCACATATATAAATACAAATAAAAAACGTTTTCTTTTTTAATTTTTAAATATAAACATAAAAAGTAAAACATATAGATAGATGAGAAAAATATATAAAATAGATGAGAGTTTAATCAGCACTGTTGACAAGAAAAATAAATAATGAAAGAATTTCTTCTTCGAAATGCAGACAATAAAAAATCTACCATTTGATTAGATAAAAGTATCAATATTGCTTGAATCGGTTAATGAAGCATCGATAGCTAAAATAGATTAACAATTATAACTTTATTAAGGTTCATTTTTTCTATGTAATTTTTATTTTGAAAAATAAAAGATCTTCAACTTAGATCGAAGAAAAAAATCGTCTTAACAATCTCACAAATTATATATTAGCAAGATGAAATTGAAATAATACGCATCTATGAGTCTTTTTGTCTAAAACAATAACAATTATATCAAGATTTAAGCCTTTAGAAAAACATCAAATGCAAAAATTTCAACCATAAACTTTCAACTCACATACAAGCTTTCTTTTTAGTTACCGAATATTCAAATAGCAATTCATCACATAGATCATTGTAGAAACTTTAGCTCATGTGATAATTATCCTGATTTCTCTTTCAAGTTTTTAAATGATCTTCGAGAGAAACAGTTGTCATAACATATATTTTAGCTTATGTTATTACTTTGCATAATAGATTTCAATGAGTTAGAAGCTGAATGCGCTAAATTTCTCTCGTTCTGTATTATCAGTCGAAATTTTCTACAAAATATAGTGACAAAAATAAAAATGAAAGTCTGTATAAACAAATTATGACATGAATAATCTCTAATGAATATATCTATCGTCAATGCATTGTTCGATATTTTTCATTGATGAGAAAAAAAATGTTTCCTCATCAATGAAAAAAGAAAACAAGATATAGTATGCTTTTTTTGAGAGCGATTTACAATAAAACATTTGTCTTCTTTCTCGAAAGTGTTTTTTTTTTTAAATAAAACCTAATATTTAAAGCAAGATACACATACAACTTAATGTTCGATTGACTGTTTCCAATTTATCAACAAGTTGTTCTAATTCACGTATGCTGATATTATCATCAGTAACGGATTCATTTGGTCTAGATATTTAACAAGAAAAAACAAAATGAATCAATTAATATATTATTTTACTTTAATTTTTCTAATATTCCAGATGAAAGTTGGATTAATCTAATTGCTAATCTTTGGCCGTTGTCACGTAATGAATCACATCGTTCCTAAGATATTTTATTGATTTATTAGTGTTAGAAAAAAAAAAAGAAACTTTCATTACTTCTTCAATACTACAAACACTTGTACTCGCTTTTTGACATTGTTCTTCATCTGTAACAATTGATGTCATAGTTTTTCGATATCTTGATGGTGTTTCTTTGTATAGTTGTGGACTTGCGGATGCAGATCGATGATTTGATGAAGATGATATTGTTCGCGTTTTTAACATATCTTGTCGTGGAGATGTAATATTTGTTCTTGTGATTGTTTGAGAATTTGATTGTAAATTGGCTAACTCTTTTTTACTATGGCTAATAACATTACTATGCGATGATGTATTCATTATATCACTTTGATGATCAGTTTTATGTAATTGTTTTGTTGTACGTTGAGATAATTCTTCGATTTTTGCTTGTGCACGTGCACGACGTAATTGAACAGTTCGATTTGTCTGTCTACTTGAATTAATTGTTGATAATGATGTTGATAACATTGTGGTAATTGGTTTTGAGTTTTGTTGTAATAATGTTTTTGATGGAATTTGTTGCTGTTGTTGGATTGGTTTTGATGTTGATGATGAAAGATGTGAAGTTTGTTGGCGTAATGTAAATGTTTTATTCGTATAGAATTTTGTAAAATTGGGTTTTGTTTCATCACAATCATTATTATTTATTGTTGATGATGAAGATATTTGTTGTTGATGTTGAGATTTTGTAGATGTCGTTTGACGTATATTTGAATTACGTTGAAATGATCCTAAGGAATATGTTTGATCATTTATAGTTGTATGAGGTCGAATAGATGGTGAGGTAGAAGGTGATTGTTTTTCAAGATAAAATGAATCTTTTTCTGTAGAATTTTGATAAGAACGAGATGATAATGGAGGAGATATTGGTTCACTGATTGGAGTTTGAACACTTGGATCTTTAATAGAAACAGATTCTTCTGTTAATTTTGATCTAAATTAAATGAATTTATTTATTATGAATAATTCAAAAATAAGATATTTACTTTCGTGAAGTATCTCTTTTTCGTTGATGAATATTTGTAGTTGGAAAAGATTTTGTTTTCAATGTTGGTGAAATAACTTAAATAAAAACAAAAATATAAAGAAAAGTTTTCTTTAATAAATATTTTCACCAAAATATTCAGCTGGTTTTATTTGATTTTGTGTTGATGTTATTGATTGTTGTTGTAAAATAATATTCGATGATTTATTTTCAAATGTATCATCAAGTTCTTTATCATTTGAAAATAAAACAAAAGATGATGAAACTAATTCATTTGTTGGAATATTCGAATCAATAATAGGACGATTAATTGTTTGTGTTGTTGATGATACAAATCTATGTATATCAAATGTTCCATGACGAGTTTTTGTTTGATTTATATATCGTTTAAATGCTGATGAAGAATTATTTTGTTGTTCTAATTCATCATCATATGCAATATCACCATCATCTTCAATAATATAAGTACCAGCATCACTTAATGTATCAATATCATGATGATCTGATGATGAAATAACAATATTTGATATTTGATTATCAGATAGTTGAATATCCGAAGAATAATGAAGATTTTCTTCATCTTTAGTGGTCATGTCAAATGTATAAAATTGCTAGAAAGAATAATTCATATTAGATCGATATTTTTTTTTGCTTCGGATCTTACTGATTTTATTAATGTACGACAAGAATCTTTTTTAGGAGATGAAAAATCTAAAATAATCTAAGATATTAAATTGTGAAAGAAATTTTTTTTTCTCACCTAATGTGAAAGAGTATTTAGAGTTCTAAAAAATAAGAGCAAATAAATATTATTAATATTTGTAATTTCACTCATACATACGTCTTTAGGTAATTCATATTCTTTTATTTTCATTGAAGTTGATGCATTTCGAAGACCATTTTGATTATCTACATAGACATTGGTTAAAATCGGTGACTAAAACAATCGAAATAAGAACAAACTAGAATATTAAATAACGTTGATTTTTATTCATTTGATCTCATAAATGTTTTTTTGTTTCGTAGGTAAAGAAAGAAACATAAAAAAAATCTATTCGTACAGTACATTATTTTTCTCTATTTCTCCTATTAACATATCTTACCGCATTAGATGACGGTGTGAATGATCCATTGTTAGTAATACTAAATTCAGATGATATTGGTACAAAATTTTATTGTAATAAAATTTGTCTAATGCTATTGTTAGTAGATGATGATGATGATGATGAAGTAACATCAGGAGTTAACTGACAATAACTACTTGCCTAAGACAGCCAAAAGAAAGTTAGTATTTTTATAATGAGATGATAAATGAGAAGATGAATATCAGAAAATAGATAGGGATCATCTAGAAAGAGGATCGAATATCATTATTATTATCTTGTTCTCATGTTTAATGAATTTATGCTTATATTAGTACTTATGTTTAACATTATTACAACACAAAGATATTAATAACTATATATTTAAATAATGCTTTCGATCTCGACAAAGTCATAAAAGAAAACATGTTAGTATAGTTTCTTTTCGAATAGGAACAAATTCTTTAAAAATTGAATCCTCACCTGAAAATGATTTCGATGAAATTGACGTAAAGATCTAGCCCATCGTTGAACATTTATTTGATCCATGATTCTATATATAATATTAATTTGTCGTCTCTCAAACTTTTTCTTTATACCTATTTCAAATAGCGCTCTTGCGTGTTCATATGTTCGATATTAAAAATAAGAAAAAAAAAACCTTTCTATCTCATCATCATCATGTTTCAAACTCAGCTTCTCACTCGAGCAAATCAGTCAAGTGTATCAACACATACATACATACGTAATAAAAAGAAATTCATTGATGAATATTATTTTTTTTTTTATTTTGAAAAGATCTAGACAATGAGAACGCACAAAAAAAAAATCTTCAATAATTGATAATATGAAAAGAAAATGAATGGACTTGAAGGTTATCTTCTCATCATTATACATACAATTTTAATAACAACATGAAAAAAAAAAAAGATTAAGTCAGTCACAACAACAACAAAAAAAAAATTCTTTTTTTGACAGAACAATCCGGTCCGAAAAGAGAAACATATTGAATACATATTATATACAAAAAAAAAGCCAAAAGTACGCACATTGATCTAATCCAATACAACAATATCATCATCAACATATGAAACAAAATTTGTATTAAGTTTTTTCCATGGAGCACGTGCAATACGACGAATATCTTTTTGAGGAATTTCTTTTCTTAAACGTCTAAAATTAAAAAAAATTTAATTTATATTTAAAGTAAACATTTAAATTAAACTTACTTAATATCTTTTGTTACACGTAAATAAATGCCATCGGGAGCTAAACAACATATTCAATTAAAATATTCTATTAAAATCTATTTTAAATTTAACTTACGATCAACAAATGGAACAGTATAAGCACGTGAACGAGACAATTTTACTGTGTTCTAGAAGAAAAAAACATCACAAGACAAATATATACATAGATTAGTGTCATACGTATTCCAAATGAATCATTTTATAAATTGAAAACAGAATTCTGCAAGAACCAGAATAGAGCATTGGGAACGATAGAAAAAGCTACATTTCTGTCATTTGTTTTAAACTTTTTTATGAGTCATTCCATTTATTTTTAAAATGATTTGCATAGAAATTTTCTCCATTAGATTCTCACATCAATTTCTCTTTAGTGTCCTACTCATGTTCTCATTGTATTTATATATTAAATAGACGAATGTCTTTTTTTTTTTATAAAATATCTCATAATATCGAAGGTATTGTCACATATCAATTGATAAGAAAAGTATTCATTATTCAATGATTGAACAAGAACCATCAGAAATGAATTTTGAATATATGAAAAATGATCATCAATCGTATTGATATATGGTCAGAGAATAAATTTAATTATTTTTAAGAAATAATTGAAAATCAAATTTTTATCATTGACATCCTGTACCAACGACTGTAATTGTTCGTTTTTTTTTGCATCGTACATAAATAAAGAAAAGCTTCTAACTATTTCATTAATAACTGTAATTTATTATTATGTTCGTTTTTGGTAGAATTCTTCGTCTTATTAAAATAACCGATAAATTGATAATATCTACCTGTCATTGAAAATATATGATAACTAATAACCATGTATGGTTTTATTCTTATACATGTTAACGTATTAGACACACATTTTATGTTAGAAGCAATCAATTATTAAGAAAAACATTGAAAAAAATCGAACAATATGATAATTTAGATCTTTTGGTTGGACTTGGTTTCGATAGAAGTGACTATATATAATAAAACATAATCACAGTTTATTTAACATAGTTCAACAATGATCAATAAATATTATATTAGGCATATAATAGAATTATTTCTTAAGAATAATATTCCATACTTATGTCTAAATGATTTAATAACTTTTTCCCAAGACATTGCATTAAACCATAATACGAAAGAAAGATCATTACTTATATGAAATGATCAAATATTCAAGTTATGAGATATGACCAGTGTTTATTTATGATTCTACATACTAATTCCAATCGATTATTCACTTTGAAGAATCATGAAAGAGCAAGTAGGAAAAAATAATGTGTCAAATTTGAATGACTTAAAAAATTTTAATCAAATAACAGTAGTAAAACATGAAGATAAAAAATTATGTATAGCTAAGATCAAAAATCGTTCCGAATCGATTCAAAAGTCTTCGATTCGATTTTAGCTGCGTTACTCAATTAAATTGCAATTCCTTACAATGTAAAGAATTCATTGTTTTACAATTCTAGATATTTTTTTTTGTCAACATTCTCTTTGATCTTACATCATTCATGTCACGAGACAAAAAAATTTGTGATGATTTAGCTTAGACTTTGAAATAAGAATTTAGACAAATTTTTAGAAAAACTAATCTCTGTTGACAGTAAAATTGTGAATCTGTTAATAAGCCTTTCTATGTGAAAAGGATAAAGTTTAGAAAATTAAAGAATCAGTGAAAGATTACTATATACTTTCATCTTTCGTTTTGTCTTTAATAGTTTATTATAGATATCATTACGATAAGCAGTAAAAAAAGAACAACTTTGCATAAGTGTTATACATCCACTTTTATTTTGTTTGGTTGTACACTTTTCAGGAAGACAATCAACGACATGAATGATAAACAACTTAACATTCTATTGAAGATCTATAAAAACGAATTGTTATCTGTTTGTTTCACTTACGGGTGATTTATTTTTAATTAAATTTTGTCGAGTAATTAATGTTCGTTTTGGTGATGGACCTATTAAAATATAAACAAAATTAAAATTCATTTTTTTTAAATTTATTTTTACCTTCATTTGAACTGTCATTTGATTCATAAGGCCGTTTTTTCATAATACTTATGTTTGAATGAGTAAATTGTGCATAAAAATCTGCCGAATCTTTTAGTAATTTCGGATAACGTATTGGCACATTTAACTCATTATCATTATTTATTTTTTCTTCATATTTAGGCATAAAATCATCTAATGTTTTATTTGTTTCATTCTCATCTTTATATGGAAATAAATCACATAAATGTTTACATTTTTTTTGTTCATTTCTTTGTTTATATAAATTATGAAGATGTGTGCATATATTACGAATTTCACGTGATGGTTTTTCTTTAATAAATAATTCCCATTGACGATATGTATCACTAGTATCAATTACAGATAATGGACAACGTGCAAGATGTCGAATTGGACATAATGGACGAACAGCATGTGATAATGGTGTTGTATATAAAGCAAATGTATAACGCGGTTTTGATAATGGACGTGGACTACCAGAACGAAACATTATTCCATGTGATATGGCATAATGACGTTGAAGAGCAGGTTTATTTTTACATTCCTAAATAAATCGAAATTTTTATTTTTAATGTATTATTAGATAAAACCTGATTGATTATGTTCATGTTTGAGTATAATACAATCATTTACAGAAGCAATAAAATCATATGTAACTATCTTAACAAACGATCTGAATCAATTGGTCTTTTGTTTTTGTTCGTAGAAAAACTCACACTACTTTTATAAATAAATATTCAAATTTAGGCTATTCTTATTTACTTCAAAACCGGTCAGTTGCTCTCGTGGACACTTCCGTCTTGAAACAGAGTTTTGTTGAGGAAAATTTTGAGAAAACATAAAAAATCGATAAGAAATAGTAGCATTTAACAAGAATAGACAAATAGAAGTATAAAGAGATAGTAAACGTTCGATATATTTTAACTGATTGTTAGCGTCTATATGTGAATTTTCAATCAAATTTTGTAGTCCTTTGGTAAAAGTATTTTTTTTTCGCTGTAATAGTTGACTGCTTGACATAGTGTTCATAATGATTGAATGTAGATATTGCGTGAATCGATCGATTTCTCTTCATCTATATCCACCCTCAAATTGTGTGCATCGGAAAATCAATTGATTCAGTTTATTATTTGAATTTGATGTACAGAATTTGTTCAAAAATTATTGATAAATATGTTCGACGACTATCTATCTATCTTAGGACGGAAGTGTCCGAACAATCAATTATCCTAGATCTATTTATTTGTATTCATTTAATAACTATAAATATAGTTCCATGATAAATTAGTTTAGTATAACTTTTCTCATACATATAATCGTCAAATTTTCACATAAAAACACTATTCAGTCTCTAATTCCTATATTGTGACTATGTGAGTATATTTCCATAAAAGAATGCTATTGATGTAATGTCAATGTAAAACGAACGCGTATTATGATTTTTGAAAACCGACATATAAAAGTTTTAATTAACATTTTTTTAAATTTGACTAAAGGATTTTAGAATAAAAAACCATTATCATAGTTAAATAGATTGAAACTATAGTGCTGGAACAATGTCAAAATAGTGATTATATAGTTAGATAAAAATCTTTCAAGATAAATAAGCCAAGAATAAAAAGAAATAATGTCCTTTTCGGCATCTATGAGGCAGAATGATAACAGTGATAGTTACGTAGTGTTATCTGAGTAAAATCTCACTTCGAATCGTGTTGACCAAAAAGGCTTATATTAGAGTTATATGAAAATATTTGATACTAATTAGAAATTTTTTCTAAGAAAAATAAGTCAAGAATTTCTCATAGTTAAATCTTCGAATCAAGATAAATTCTATTCTATAAAAACTTTGTCAATATACCTTGTCACAACCATTAACATTACATTTATAACTAACCAATTTATTAATATTAACAGTCCGTTCTAAAATAAATCTCATAAATAAATTTAAAATATCTTCAATAAAATTTGACTTACCTTGTCGTCGATCAGGACCTAAAATTTCACATAAAAAAATTCATATTATTTATTTTTCTAATGCATGATGAGAAAATCTTACCGCTTTTTTTCAAATATTTCAAACCACCTAATTTTTTATAATAAGTCCAACATTCTGCACAAAGTCTTGTATTTGGTTGAGCTGCACTCCATTGATACCATTGTAATGATGACGTTGCTAAATGAAAAAAAAAACAAAAAGCATTTATGTATAATCATTCTACATTCAATTGCACATACTTCCACATGATTCACATGGTTTATTTTCATTTTGTATTCGTTGTGGAAGTAAACATTGATGTGCTTTATTACTATTTAAAAAACAATAATCAAAATAATAATATTAGAAAAATTAATATTCAATACGAACTAATTTGGTATAAAAACTTGTTTTAATTTATTTTCTTGTTCAGCTAATTTTAAACGTCTTTGAACAACATAACGATCTGTTGTTTTCCACATATAATAATATTCAATAATACCTTTTAAACTTTTCCATGGTAACTAAAACTTAAATATGTATGTACATTTCTTAAAATATACTTTTGTTTTTCTTACATATTCTTTTTGTATTTCTCGAAAATCTTTTCCACATTTTTCAATAGCATCTTCAAATGAATTAGCTTCAGCAGCAGACCAATCTTCCATTTGATCTTTAACAAGTATTGGTCCTGTATTTGGTACTAAACTACATGTAGCTAAAGCTAAATCATAATGATGTTTATGTAATGTATCCATTGCAAAAAACTATAAACAAAATAAGAAATATTTTATTTTAATCAATCAAAACAAAAATAAACTATGGATTTTCTTACTAATGTTGCATCACGTGATGCTGATGCTGCACTCATATGAAGACTTGGATGTTTTAATGCTGTTGGACAATCAAGTGCACGAGCAAATGTACCGATTGATCTATTAGATTTTTTTTTGAATAAAATTTTTTAAATTAAATAGACAATGAATACCTTGCAACAATTAAATATTGTTCAATTTGTTTTTCTGTTAAACCACCATTAGCATCCCAGATTAAATCTTCTCTTGATGATAATGTATCTTTTCAAACAGAAATAACTTTATTTATTCAAATAAACAAAAGTGTCTCGAGGTTGTCAGAATTGAAATGAAGGGGCAGGATTATAGAGTGAATAGTCAGGCGACAAAATTGATTTTTGAGGTCTGGATCTAGTTTGTAGTCAGCATAAAAGCTGCTCTGAATCTGTATCTAAATGCACTTTAATTTCTAATTGCAAGTAAGTAGTCTTTTTGCAGCAGCTAATACAAAGTAGGTACAATAGGTGAATATTACTAATAAGACTCTATAAGTAAAATGTATGTGTCAAAAGTGAAGTTCTAATAATATTCATTATATATTATACATTTATTCAGTGTTAGATGTTTACTATATACTACAGATCTTTCAGACTTCTTGATGTTTCTTTTGTTTTACTAGAGCTAAAAAGCTACTCGTAAGGTACCAATAAATAACGGCTGGTGAATAATGGAATTCTTTCGCCTGATTTTTCTGAAACTTTTATTATAATAATTTTAATTTTCTATTGTATATAGCATGTCACCATACAACTAAGTAGGATGCAAAAAGATGTGAATCAAAACCCTGATAGAAAGACATTGCTCCAAATACAACCTTGAACACAGATGAGTCCTAACTGAATTCTACTACGGTTACTTATCTTTCATATTGTCAAAGCTTCAAATAAATCATACGAGCTCAAACATATAAATTTTTAAAAAGTTTTTATATCGGTTGTTTGGTTCTAAAGACAATCTATAAATAGTTTTCGATTTTGTAGTTATCATCGGCAAACATTGATAACTTACAAAGGAATCTCTTCATGTGCTATAATCATTTCTAGATTGAGTTGATGTTAATGGAATGAGTACTAGCAACAGAGTTTCGTAGTCGCTCTCAATTCAACTTGAAAGTTTGAGCTTTTCTCATGAGTTCTATCGTGAGATACGAATATCTGAAATAATGTGGAGTACTCAAGTAAATATTGTGTTTATATTCGTATTTCATGACAGAAACAACTGAACAGGTTGAAACTTTTACAATGGAAAAGTTTCATTGAGAGTATGATTTAATAAAGAAGCCTAGCTAAGTAAAGATAGTCAACATTAAGTACAAGGTATAAAAATAGCAAGTTATTATCTTAAGTAATTGTAGGAATTGTTTCTGTCCCTCTTTTTCTATGCACTATGGATGACTTCCTCATCTTACTAAATACATGCTTCGAAATAAATGCTTTATTAATACCTTGACTTGCATCATTGGATAATAGTTGAACTGATGCATCAGCTTGATATTTTCCACCAACACGAATTTCACCTCGATCAGCATTTAAAGTTTTCTGATTTGGATCATAAACAAGTTGATAGAAAAAAAGATCCTTTAAGTAAAAAAATATAATAATAATAATAATAATAATTTTTTTTAATATTTATTTTCTGACAAAACCTCAGAATTAAGGTATGATGAAAATGTTTCAGTTTCATTATGTAAAACAACTAAACATTTTCCACGTATATTTGTTGCTAATAATGTTTCATTCTGACGTGTTAAAAATAATTCACGATGACGTAATTGATGTTTTTGAATATCAGTTAATTCAGTTGGTTGTCCACTTGGGTTTGTTGATCCAGTATCATTCGTCATTTCATCATCATCTTCCCATGGAACTTAAGAATATATAAATAAATAATCACAAATAATTTTTTAGAGAAAACTTTTCGATAGTAGTACCATCGATTTTAAGACGATCAACTTGATTGACTAGATATGAAGAGATATCACGACGACGATAGAAACAAGCAACACGTGCTTCAACATTGCCATTTGGAGTCTAGATTAAAGAAAAAAGAGGAAATGAAAAGTTATTGAGTTCGTATTTAAAAGTCTTTCAACAAATAGGAAAGTTCTTGGGAAGAAGGAAAACTAACGCTAGTTCGATGTTTTCTAGATTAGGCAAAATTTAGTACCTTTTATAATAAGAACGAAGAATGGAAGTTATGACGTTATGTTTCCCAAAACCAAACACGAAATTTTCTAAAGATTCCAGAACATAAATTTCCCTTGCGTAAAGCTCCCATGCCAGTCTTGGTGCAATTTTATTGAGACTGTATCCAAGATGTTTTCATATCGAAAAAATTCATGTCTTTGACATTGAAATTCAATGTAACAAGTTCACAACTATCGTCTTCCCATGAGTTATTAAAACGACCTTTCAAATTTTTTGTCATTGATAAAATTCCTATGGCGTCTGCTACACAGTCAAAATTCTCGCTGGTCTTATGCACAGCACTTTATCCAATTATTTATTACATGCGAAAATTTATCAGACGTACTTTATTTAATTCTTCAATTCGTCGAATTAGATAAGGTTCTGTTGGATTTCCTTCAAAGTAGACATAATCTAAATAATACGTTAGCAAATAGTAAAACTAAATAAAGCAAATTATTACTAAACTTACCGCCTACACGATACATACACGAAGCCATTATTTAATGTTGAAGAAAAAAAAGATTCACTAGGAAAATTCGTTCATTATGCTGAAAAAAATCAAATGGTGGATTTAACAATTCAACCAGAAATTGTGTTTTTAATTATAAAAAATGCAAAGCAGAATAATCTATTTGAAAAGTATGTGTGTTATAGATGAAAGAGCACAGGAATGTCAACTTTCAACTTTTCTTTTGAATTATGTTAAATAATAATACAAATGGTGCAGAGGATGTATTATGTCGACGAAAGAATTTTTTCTTCAAAGTTAATTTATAAATATTTATTTTTTTGTTCAAACCAAACATTGTCGAGAGCCATGAAAATATGATGCATCTTTATCTCTTGAGATCTTCAATTTGAAGATATGCTTTGTTTAGAAAAAACTAATAGTGCGGTTTATTATTCTGACAGGACGAAAAAAAATAAACAAAAAAAGAATAAAGATGACTGAAGAAGACAAATCGATCGATAGTCAATAAGAAAACGAAGAGACATTTTAGACATTTGTTGAACCCGATAAAAAAATTAAATAAAATTCGAGAAATTTAAACGAAAAATAATTTAGAAAATTATAATGTACCATTGAAAATACAACTAAATAAAACTAAATACAAAAACCATGCGGTCGTATATTAGCGCCATCTGTTAAAAAATTGTCGTCAAGCTATTTTCCGGTTTTTGATTGTAAAATTCAAGTCATATAGTTGAAAAGAAAATACGGAACTGTATATAGTTTGGGCCCGAGGAGAATTAATCTAACAGTTTGATCTCTTCGGATCTTGTAAAGTCCTTTCGGATTCTGGTCTTTCCATATGAGAATTCCATGAAATCTATCATAATCTGGTCTCCCATTGATGATCCATGAGAAAAGATGAGTAAAGAGAATCAATGTAAAAATAAAAATGAGGATTTTGAATAAAAAAAGAGAAAAAGTACGAGGCCCTTATTTCAACCATCAGAATAAAAAAAACACTCAAACTGAAGGAAAACTCCAACATCGCAAAACTGATCCTATATTAATCTTTGTTTGATAATGGCTTTAAATATAACGGGTGTTGCAAAAGTTTCTGGAAAAATGTCAGACTCTGTTGTATTTGAACAGAAGGTGATGGAAAGCTAATTCTTTTTTTTTGTTACATAGAACTTGCCCATGTAAAAAATAGTTTCTTTAATAATCACTAATAATCGATTAAAAATCAATTATTAGTGACTATTAAAGAAACATTTTTACATGGGTGGCTTCTACTTTCAAAGCATATGTTTCACAGACTTCTGTTCATACACTAGTAGCAAAATTTATTCGGCTTTTATAAACCTCCTAAAAAACAGGCTGTAAACATTATTAACAGTAAATACATTGTATATGTAAATAAAGACATGTGCCTGTGAGCTAAAATGACTTCTATGCTGTGTGACTACTGAAAGACCACGTAGAAAAAAAAAATTTAGCATAAACAGATCTTTCTTTATCGAGATTGACTTTCTTAAAATTATGCCGGTATAAATTCCAAAACCTTTTGTAACACTAAGTTTTACAATTTTAGAGATCTAATTAACTTAGGACAAATAGTTTAGCAAAGTTTGTCGACATATTCTTGTAGCTCGCAAACCGCTCGATTTGGCGCGGTCGAGCTTCCTTTAGTTGCTTGTGAAAATGTATAAATAAAATGATAAGTTTTTCAAACAAAGGTTACACAAATTTCCAAACCTGTGAAAATTAGTTTTTCCTGCCAACAGTAAATGATAGCAATCAGATTTTTCAATGGTTTGCGTGTGTGGCAAAAGCTAATATCATTTTCTATATAACGTGTAAAAATGAGTCCAAAATATTACATCTAAGGCAAGATATTCATCTGTTTTTGAAGAAATCGATAGCAAAATGGCAGAAATTTACAGTACGCTTTTTATCAGTTTCAGAAAAAACCGAAGTAATTTGTCTACTAATATATGAATAGAAGTTTTCGAAACATGTCCTTTCAGAGTAGTAACTACGCTCTATCTAATAAGAAAAGAATTAGCTTTCTTTCACTCTCTGTTCAAATACAGCAGAGCCTGGCATTGTTCCAGGAACTTTTACAACACCTGTTATGTTACGCTATATTGTAATTGAATTACAGATAGCAAACAGTTCATCGCAGTTCTTTTCATCTTTACTACCCGTACTGAATATTGTAAAAGTCGATTGTAGTTCAATCAATTACTTTTCATCATCTTTCACTGCTTTTCCCTAACTTGCTGCAACTTAGTTCCATTTTAGTTCTGTTTCTATCTAAGATAGTTACATATAGTATTTTCATAGGTCTAGCGTTTTCTTGGTGTGAAAAAGAAGAGCAAGAAAAAAGTCGTTGTTCACTATTATACACGTACCTACCATTGCTGAATAAATTTATCTATGCTAAGTTTGTCTTTGTACACTTTCCTTTTTGATAAAAAAAGAGGGTAAAAAAGAGGAGTTTAGGAAAAGGAAAAAAGAGGTGGAATGAGTGACCAGGTCATAATTCTGTAGAAATATCATCGGGAACCGTATAGCGAAATAACATTCGGACCCCTGAGATTGGAATTTGGTTCAATCCCATCGTCAGTATTTCATCAAATCTAAGTGCCGCGATCCGATCGAGTTTGACCGTTAAAGATCATTAGAAAGTGATAGACTACAGACGTGCTCATCAGAGAGGATACGGTAGGACAGAATAGTGTCATCTCGTTATACCTTTCAAATTTCAACATCAAATTTTCTTTCTGAGAAACAGGAAGTTTTTGAGTTTTTGAGTGCCAAAATTCAAAAACAGAATGCAGAGAACCACATCAAGTAATAATCTGAGTTTTCATCTTTGGATGGAAATTCAAATGAAAATGGTAGAAAACAAAAATAATGACCATCGAGAAATTATGTTTGTATTTCTTATTTTCATTTCTTTACCACATTAACACAAAGGATTATGTTATGAGTTCTATATCATTGTGTTTTGATGATGAAAGTTATTTACTGTCTGCTGCTGATTTCAACGGTGCATCAAATTCTTCTCCGCCTTGTCTTGGCAATGATTTGAATTACTTTTCTTACAACTCTTATACGCTTGAACAATTCAAGCAATTCTTATTGGGAAAAGGCCAAAGATTTCATCTTGGAGATAGTGATTCATTAGATGCATCGGTATCTTAAAGACATACTTTTAAAATGTGCACACGTTACTGTCATTGAATTCCAGTGGAAAAGCTTGTTAGTAGTAGTAGTAGTAGTAGTAGTATATCGCCTTATTAATTAATTTTAAAGGTAGAGAGACAAAAGAATAATAATAGTAGTAGTAAGTGAAGGAATCAGACTTAGACGAACATCGTCTCTGGAATGGTAAAAAAAACCAATAAGTATTTTAGAATCATGAGATGTACAAGTACACGAATTAGGTGCACGCTTAGAATATAGAATGTTAAATGAAAAGATAGGTAATACGCATTAAAGGTAATATATAATTGGGTTAAATTAAATCGGTCATTCTCTACTAGTCTTCACTCAATGTATCTTAGGTAACAATAACGATTTAAGGTCCCTCCCCCCCTCAAAAAAAGTCACTTTTCGTCAAAAATTCCGAAATTGAGATAAACACATGGGGAGATAGCTCGTCGTCTGCTCTTTCATAAACGATAATTTGTTTTTCTCGTTACTTCATTTTTCCCAAAAAATTTTCAAGATTTCCGCCAACCCGTATTCGAAAAACCAGCTGTTTTTTGAAAAATCAAAAAATGTTTTTCATTTTTTCTCAGTTGCCGCTTTCTCAAAAGCGCATCCCAAATTTCTCCTTCTTGGTTCGTTCAATATATTAATATTTTTTGTTTGTTTGAAAGAGCATCTCAATGTGCAGGGCACACGAAAGCCGCTTTTTTAAATTAAGGGTTTGTTTGGTCAATATACAGCCAGTTATATGATTTGGTTACCATTTTGTGACACTTTTTTCAGTCATTGAACTTTTGCTTCCTTTTTTGCGCTTAAAAAAGGACTATTTCAAAAAAGCGACTTCCGTGTGTCCTGCGTCTTGAGATGCTCTTTCCAACAAAACAAAAATATTAATATATTGAACGAACCAGCACCGAGAAATTTGGGATGCCAAATGAGTCATTTTTGATCCTTGTTTGGCTCCTATCTCCCTGAAACCTGACGATTTCGGGCTGAAAATTTTGTGGTAGTCTCCCCTTTCTAGTTCCAACATACACTGAAAGTTTCATCTAATTTGGATGTTCCTGGGCTGAGATCGATTTTTGAGGGGGTTGGGGGTCTTAACATCAAAATTTAAATATATATCTATTAAACGAGAGAGAAAAAGAAGATACTGGATTACGATAGAAATCATGTGTCAACCTTGGGTCTTGTTACATCTCTTCTCTTTATTCGTAACTAAATACTTGATCTAATAAAGATGAGTTGTGAGGCGAGAGTAATTTTCGTATACGATTTGATGTTCGGCCTTTACCCACAATTTCACATTTTTTCTTTGAGAGAACAGGATTTGTGTAAAACTCATTTAAGTATAACATGTACAATTTTTGTTGTATATAGTCGGCAATAATAGATCGGTTAGTACGTATGATTGAGAGCAGTAATTTCGTCAAATGTAATGGTGTAAGTAGTTCCATTGATTTAAAAGCAGGTAAATTTATTATTTAGTTATTCGTTGCATCATGCCATCTGTTAATAATGCGAAATACTTTACAATTAAATGCTTCCAGCTTCTCCTTTTGCGTGTCAGATAAATTAGAGAAGATATGTAAAATAGATTGATAGTAAGGACGAATAAAGGTATAATATAATCTATAAGAAATTTCTTCGGACAACATGCGACTGGACGATATTGGAAAAGTTTGTTAGCGCACCTCTTTGCTTCCGGAATATGGAACTCACATATGCTCTTTAGTCTCATTAAACTATACAAAATACGTAAAGTGAAAAGCCTCCTGTGAACTATAGTTGTTTCGCAGGATAATCGATCACCAGAGTAAGGATCTCTCTAATTTCTGCATTTTGAACAGAATTATTAATTCTTTCTACGAGTACTCTATTTTTTATCTGCATTATTCGCATCCGCTCATTATTTTTTATTTTTTAAATTCATTTTCTTAATTTAACATTCTTGTTATTATAATTATTGAACTATTGACAAACAAGTCTGTTTTACATATTCATGATATCTATAGCAGATCTTACACCCTATCATATATATTAATCAATTCACCAATAATGATATTCATTACATTTCACATTTATAACTTGATCCATTTTGCAAAAAAAGCTAGAAAATCTTATGCCTATTATTCTCGGTTGCTAAGATCTGTGATGAATAGGGGGGGGGGGGGGGGGGCGGCCCCCAAAACTCCCCCCA